TCGGCCGGGAGCCACTCTGCCGACCTCGGATGGTGTAGGTCATCCGGGTCGAAGAATGGGACACCTAACGGATCCACGAGGGCGGACCCCGGAGCAGCGGGGTGCCTAGTCCCTGTATCACCTCTGGACGTCTCTGCTTGAGCAGAGGGAAGGAGGTCAAAGCCCACATCTGCAGCATCCATATCAGTCACTGTCCGACTCAATCTTAGCCTCCTCACCTGACCCGATATCTGAGTCGGAGTCGCTATCTAAATGTGCTCTGGCACATTTCCATAGCCGCGCCCGTTCTGCCTGGCGCGGAAAGGCTCTTTTGCGTGGATGGGACACGCTTTCTGGTGCGACCGTAGGCACGCCAGTCGTAGAGTTTCTGGAGGCAGAGGGATATTTGGACTTATGGGTAGCCTTTCTGGGTGCCTCTCTCACCGGGTCCACAGCAGGACGCGATAGTGGCATCATGGAGCCCGAGAAATGCTTGTCCGAAGGACGTGGCAATAGGGCTTGAGAAATAGTATGGGAGAAGGTCTACAGGGTGGGTGGAGTGGCCGAGGTGACAGAGGTCTCACGCCAAATTAAATGGGGCATCAGTCTCCCCAGAGGGTGGGGATCCAGAAGGTAGTCTGGGTTTAGGCATAATGGAGAATAAACAGGACCTAATTAGATATAAGAATAGTATGGATTAGTCACCCAAAACTGAAAGCAATAGGTATAAGAGTGATCTCACCAGGGCCCAGACCAGTGGCACACACAAGGTAGGGAGGAAGACAGGAAGTCAGAAAATGGCCGCCGGCAATCTCGCGAGATTCGCTGCAAAATATAGTGAAAATTCGCTAAGTTAAAGAACCGAACGTTCGGTAGAAAAAGAAACAAATTTGTGGAAATAGACTAATATAAGGAAGAATGGAAAAAACAGACGAACGAGCAGTTCGTGCAAAAATTAGTTGAATGCGGCAAAATGGCGCCAAGGGACAGGGAGAGGTAACAGCAAGACGGAGATAAGGAAAAACACAAGGAAAGTCACAAGAACAGGGTGAATTGAAAAGGGGGTAATAAACAAAATATAGAACGGGAGGTCTGGACCCTGGGTACACAGAAAAAAGCACCAAACATGCAGAGAAAAAACAAATAATAAAAAATCTCTAATAAATAAAATAGAATACAATAAAAGAATCAATAACAGATAAACCTATAAAGTGTAATGCAAGGATATCCATAATAATATCAATAGAAGGTAATAAACAAGTGATCCGAGAGAAGATGTGACGTGTACTTTGTATCGGAGCAGCAAAGAAAGAGGGAAATGGAAGGGAAGTGCTGCCTGTTATACTGGGACCTGAGCGGGGAGGTCCTATGTCACTGTATCTTCATTGTTTTTATTTTTACTGTTTGTATCCTTTGCTGCTATTGGTGGACAGTAAAGAAAGGGATATGCAATACTTGCATCCGTGTCTTGTTATAAAATCTTTAATATATTTAAAAGAAAATCTAGAATGTCATGAAAAATGATCTCCATATGTTATAGGTGGTTTTCAATGTTTTAATGAATGTTATTTCTACAGAAGTGACAGTTCCCCTGGTATTCACGGCTCTGTTTTGCAGACACCCCACTAAGCACACGCCGTGAATGAGCTGAAATACAAGCTGCGTAGTAGGCGGCATTGTTACTCAATGAATGGGTTCTACGATCTACAGGAACTAGATGGGGTGTGGGGGGACGTGTTTAGTCACTGCAGGAAGCGGCTCTCAACTTGGATGCAGGAGAGAGACGTGTGTCCCAGCAGAAGGAGAAAATGAGTCAATCTGCTCTAAAAACTGGATTATTGCTCTGTGTAGGAATGATTTTTATAGTTCACACTCATCATGCTGTGTAACTAGTTCTGCTCACACCTCGCTAAACACCGTGTACACCTAACCTGCCATTGGCATTTCTGTTGCAGAGCAGGTTAATTAGTTTTATAAATCATCATGTCGGAGCGGCTGGGTGGAGGTACAGCCATAGCTTTCTTTTTATAGCTCCGGGACACGGAGGGCAAGGTACCAGCGATTACTTGCCTGCTCTCATTTGCCATTTTGTATATGAATGAAGATGGTCGGGCATGTTTCAATATAAAATAATTGAAATAATTAAAATAAGGTGACTTAGATTTTTGTAAAGTAAGACTTCCCTTAACACCACTTTGATTGAGAGAGAGGGGTAGAGGGAGCTGTATATAGCATTCATACTCTCTAAGCAGGAATTGAATTCATGAATTGGGTATCCACGCGAAACTATCTTGAAGTGTGTACCAAATAATATCATCTGTAATATGAATGCTAAAGAATGTTTAATGTATTGATAAAAGGTTGATCCAATCTGTAGCGTCCCCTAATTCAGGAATGCCATAACTAGTTATAGTAAACTACTGTCTGTTGTTTTATATGACATTTAAAGGGACACTCCAGATTTAGCTTGCTGAAGAGTGTCCTACATTGTGTAGCAGACGCGTGTAAGAATAAGGCGATTGAATGACCGATTGTACAAGTGTTGGTAACTAAAGATATTGTACCCAGAGACACAAACAAACAAATCAATTTTACGAGAGAAACCAGGCAGACCGGTCAGGTCACATTCTGTTCTTTCATTATATTTAACATCGAATGATTTCTCTCTATGCATTGTAACTCTTTAAGGACTGGGCACATCGTGATCTAATTGCCTTTTTTTTTAGGGTGTGGAATTTCCTCCTATAAATAGATTCCGTTAGGGTGTGCCATGAAAGCTTAAAGTGAACCGGGTATGAAAAAACAACTGGTCTGAAATGGCTCCCATATATTGAATACATGGCATATCGTAGAGATAAATTCAGTGTAAAATGTAAAGATCTACTCGCTTTTACTGCATTTCTGCCTCGGGTTCCCCCGAAGTCGTCTTCAATTTGCCCAGCTTGGAAGCAAGGAATTCCTAATTCCTAATGAAAGGGGAGGAAAAAATGCAGAGAGGATTTCTATATATTCTGTATTTTTTTTCACCTATTGCAGGTGACAATCTAGGTGGAGTGAGATTTAGATGAATGTATATTTAAATGTGTACTTTTCTGACCATGTAATAAACTTTTTATTTAGCAAAAATTTATTTTGTTGCTGAATATAGGATCGGTATTGGTTTTTATTCAGAGCCCCATGTTTTTATTAAATTAAATATAGCCAGACACTTGCTGCTCTGCCTCCTCTGAGATTGTCCATCCTGACCGTTTTGGTACAGTCCGTGGCCTCCCATAGAGCTGCTTTAGGGAACTACAGCACGTATTGGCCAGTCTGATGGGTCTTATAGTAAAATGAAGTGGTTTTGGTGCTCAGTATTTACATTTTAACCCCTTAAGGACCAAACTTCTGGAATAAAAGGGAATCATGACTTGTCACACATGTCATGTGTCCTTAAGGGGTTAAGAGATAGGAACTTGTTTAGGTTTGGTGATGTAACCAGAATCTCAGGGTGTATACTGCGCCCATTAAAGAAGAAATTCATTTCAAGGTTGTGCTTAAAGGAACACAGCACAATGTCTGGAGTCTGCCATATTTGTGCCAGTTTTATAAAATTGCCAATTTCAATAGAAATCTAAACTTTAATAGTCTTTGGTTTTACTCATCCAGGTAGGTTTTCTGTTGCTTCCGTTAGCTACACAGTGCCAGGCTCACTAAACTAGATCACACGTGTCCCCCCACCCCCCCACACTTCACCCTGTCAAGTAACTGTAGTGCAGCTCATTGAGAAGCATAGAGCTATGAGCATGCGCGCAAATTGCTTTTCTATCACAGAGGCTTCTCAAGGATGGGGAAGAGGGGAGAGCCACAGCTTTTGCAAGCCGTCCTTTCATATGCACCAAATGAAAAATGCATGTTTACGTTGGGGGGTTATCTACTAAATTGTTTAAAAAAAATAAAAATCAATGGAGTCTCCTTTAACGTGGAATTAAGTAAAGCTAAGGAGCTTGTAATCTATTTTCCTGTGTGATTTCAAAGATCAACCCATGTTAATCAGGTGACTGTAGAGACACAGCATGGATGGATCATCCTGTCCTAAACTTCTCCATTAATCCTCTAGCAAGTTGTGTAAGCTGATTTTACTGCTACCCAGTGCTGTGCCACAGCCCAGGCATCAACAGCCATTTTAATACTGCCCAGCTATGTCTACTATTTAAGGGGGCACTTCACGCTAGACGGGAGCAACATTATTTATATATAATAAATCCATTTGAAGTTCACAGGTAAAATGGAAACACATGCATATTTTATTTCTTGTCTTCATACTTTACAGCATTGTCAGCGTGCTTAGCTGAAGTTATAAAACACAATGTGTTGTAAGATTGGCAACAGGGACCTGCTTGCACCATAACCTTATGCAGTCACTGGAAAAAGAAAGTACACCCTCTTTGAACTGTGGTCTTACAAATCGGGGCATATCTTTTCATTAGCAGGACACATGACCTATTACACCGTGCCTTGATTTATTTAACAAATATAAAGCCAAAATGGAGATACCAGATGTGGAAACCCAAGTACACCTTATGATTGAATAGTGTGTAGGGATCGACCGATATTGTTTTATTTTTTTTAGAGCCGATACTGATAATCTGTGAACTTTCAGACCGATATCCGATAACTTGCCGATACCGATAATTTGTACATTTACCATTTTAGAAAATAAACTATTTCTACACAAATCTACCGTTAACTGAGCAGGTTTATTTATTTATTTTTTTTTTTGTGCCTATCTTTTTTTTATTTTATTAAGGTAAATGCACAAAATATTCATGCCAGTCAGATTTTTATGGTTTCAAGAATATATATGTGTGCAGTGGTTGCAGTGTGTGTATAGTGAATGCAGTGAGTGTGTGTGTGTGTGTGTGTGTGTGTGTGTGTGTGTGTATAATGAATGCAGTGTTTGTGTAGTGTGTGTGTATAATGAATGCAGTGTTTGTGTAGTGTGTGTGTGTGTGTGTATAATGAATGCAGTGTTTGTGTAATGTGTTTGTGTATATAGTGAACACAGTGTGTGTATTCATTATACACACACTGCATTCACTATGCACACAGTCTGCATTCATTATATACACACTACACACACTATAGGGTCATTAAGTCCCCACCCTCAGGGCCCCCCTCCCGATGGGCTGAATGGGTTAAAACCACTTCAGCCACTTATCTTTCTCCAGCGCCGGGCTCCCTCTGTGCTCTCCACCCCCTGCCGATGTCAGATCTGCATGCGCGGCAAGAGCTGCGTGCGCATTCAAACAGCCCATATACTCCATGCCTTCCTATGGATGTCCAGCCTCTTCTCACTGTGGGGGGGTGGAAGAACACGTGGGACAGGGTGGGGGGGAGGAAGAACACTTGGGACAGGGTGGGGGGGAGGAAGAACACTTGGGACAGGGTGGGGGGGAGGAAGAACACTTGGGACAGGGTGGGGGGAGGAAGAACACTTGGGACAGGGTGTGGGGGAGGAAGAACACTTGGGACAGGGTGTGGGGGAGGAAGAACACTTGGGACAGGGTGTGGGGGAGGAAGAATACTTGGGACAGGGTGTGGGGGAGGAAGAACACTTGGGACAGGGTGTGGGGGAGGAAGAACACTTTGGGACAGTGGGGGAGGAAGAACACTTGGGACAGGGTGGGGGGGTGGAAGAACACTATGGGACGGGGGGGAGAACACTATGGGACGGGAGGGGGAGGGAGAACATTAAGCGGGGGGGAGCACTAAAAGAGAAGGGAAGTTTTTCATATTAGATTAATTAAAAAGTCTAATATTTAATAAAATTATGGGAAAAAGTCATTTTCGGCCAAGGGCATCCTGAATTTTCGGTTTCAGCCCAGAATTTTCATTTCAGTACATCCCTGCTAAATTGTGACTTTTCTAAATACTGCTGCACATGTTCTAAATGGACGTTCTTCCTGCATTCTTGGGGTGCCGGCTGCAAGAGCAGTCTTTAATTGTGACAAATGTTTTCTGTCTGTGATCTGATTCATTCTGCCACGTAGAGAGGACCCTATTTAGTGATATTTGATTGGGTGTGTTTGCTACACTGTTTTATTGAAAGTCAGATTGTAAAGATTAGCCTAAAATGGCCAATGGCTATATCTAGATGGAGATTTTTTTTTCAAAATCGACTATTTTGGCCTTCGTGTTGCAGGTTGACATTCCTTTCACTACAATTAATGTTTTACAAACTGGAATATACACATGCCCTTGTTATGACATGTTTAAAGAAACACTCCCAGGAATAAATAGAAATGTGCTATTTAGTAAATGTACCCACAACGGAAACATGCATGCATTTAAAGGGACACTATAAGCATCCAGACCACTTCAGCTCATTGATGGTATGGGTGCACTGTCCCTATTGCACTTAGTGTACAATGTAAAACATTGCCCTAAGCCTCTAGTGGCTTAAATAACCAGGAAGTAAAAGGACCGATATTCTGATTAACAGCCAGGAGGGTGTAACAAAGTTTATTTATAAGTGTCAATTTCTGTTGAAATATACATTTTGTGTAAAATGAAAAAAATAAATAAAAATGGACACTATTGACACACAAAGCATTTCAGTAAGATAAAGTGCTCTAGGTGTTTAGAGTTGTCCCATTAAGCATTTTATATAGTTGCCAACTCTCAAACACTTAGCATGGCCTTGATGACTCCTGCAATATATTACCACATTCTGTGCTGAGATAAGTGTACTTGTTATTTGACCAAAGACTGTGAAAATGTCAGTTTCTCGGGTGAGTGTAGCGATGGCGTTGTTATAAACTAAAATTGGCAAATGTCTTATTTTGGGGCATTATAACAGTTTGACTGTTGAAATTACCCCTCAAAGGCCTATTATTTGTAAAAGTAGACATTCCGTGGCATCTCCTGTGGTGTATAGTGCTGACGTGTTTTTTTTTTTTTTGCAAAAGCGCTGGATAATGGTAAGCTGCTGAAGGTGTTTTAACCCCTTCAGCGCCACGGGAGGGGGACCCTGAGGGTGAGGGCACTATAGTGTCAGGAAACCGCTTTGTTTTGATAAAACTATAGTGATCCTTTAAGGCCCTCAAAGGGGCTACCTCTCTCCACACTGGGTCAGGATGGATACTCAGCAGGCACAGAAACTTACGAAGTCAGGGATCAAGTAAAAAAATATATCTTTAATTACGCATGCTTATTTCATTGCTGTTTATATCATATCTCTGAAGAAGTCCAATCTACTGGACGAAACGCGTTCGATGTATTTTATGCTCCTGTTTATTATATTTTTATCCAATTGTTTTATTGAAGGCATTTTTGCATAATTAAAGATATCATTTTTTACTTGATCCCTGACTCCGTAAGTTCCTATGCCTGCTGAGTATCCATCTGACCCAGTGTGGGGAGAGGACTTGTGAGTGCTACCAATAACTGCCGTGCTATACACTTGTATACTGTGCTTCACTATATGTTACTTAGCTTTTATGTTGTAGATTACAGCTGTAATAAGCTATATAAATGTTGCTGTTTCCCCTGTCCTCTGCACATACAACACTCCTTTTGGCCATATATATATATATATATATATATGTGTGTGTTGTGTTGTCAGTTTTGCAGAACGCTGTGGATCTAAGCACAGAGTTCAGAGGTCAGACATTGTAAATAATGCAGAATCCAATGTGATGTTAAAGGATGTGCTTGTTTGTACTGTCTTACATGCACTTTACATACATGGATGAGGGTGGAGATTGCCCCCCAGGGCTACGAAGTGATTACTGAACATCAAGTACCCATTTACAGGAAGGTTACTGTAAGCAATATCCTGTCTCAGAATGGTACATCTTCCGTGAAATGCAAAGAGCCGTCTAGAGCAGTCGTTACACACACACACACTGAACCACATGCAGTTGCACAGACACACGGATACAGATACACATACTGAGACGCATACAGTTGAGAATTGTTCTTCTACGGGTCTGACACCCTTCTGTGAGTTGCGGCTCCCCACTCCATCGCAGCTGTATCTGTGCTAGCTGGGAGGAAGTGTTGGGCTCTCTCTCGCTATCTCCCAGCTCTCTCTGCAGGCTAGAAGGGTTGTGCTGTTAAATGCAGTGCAGGACCTGGCTCCCTCGTGACACGTCTATCGGGTGTTCCCAAGTGCGTGGACCACCCAATTGACCCTCATACAACTGGTTAGGGACCACTGGTCTAGAGGGAGGAGTATTACTGGGATAATTATACTGTATTCAATCTCACACTCTGCCATTTTATTCTAGTGTTTTCGCTATGAAGGATTACTCTGCGGACTGATGTAAAAATGCAAATGCATAACCAATATAATGAGATTTGCACATTTACTTCCATTAAACCCATAATTTAACACGGATCCGTCATTTGGCCACTATGCTAGTTTTCACAGGTTTTGTATAGGACATTTGTGTATATTGGCATTTTATTTGGTGTCCTCCTGTCCTGAGGCCTAGAGAGACACACTAGTGCCATATACAGTCCCGCAATCCCTGTGCCCAATTTAAGACACTGCTAGCCATGTCCCCCAAGCTGGGTTTATAGGGTGCTGCCTAGTGACATATAGACTTGGCATGTATTGCAAGCAAATGTTTCACTCCACATTAAAATATGTAATTTTACATATTCCGTCCCCGTGTGAACTTTTATTACCATGCGATGATTGGAATTGGGAGCACATGCCTCACATGACGATCCACCAATAACCTAGTACACGCAGCATATACCAGGACTCCCCATTGGCTCACAATTCTGCTATGGTAATGGCCATCTAACGTGCCCAGGGAGGCTTTATACAGTAACTGTGTGTGGCTATCTTGGTGGCAGCAATCTACACTGAACATTTGCTGTCACTTTGGGTTAACGTGTCTGCTTAGCACATTCAGGACCATCAAAGCTCTAAACTAAGAGCCTTTTAAATCTTGCGACCATTAGAGGCATTGGCAGTGGGTGAAAGCCACAGACAGAAAAAAGGGAGGAATATTTCATAGATGTATCAAACAATTATGAAATTGACACAGTTTATAGAATCCGTCTTGTCTTTGCCACGGATTGTGAAAGGTAATAAGGATGGTAAAAACCTATCGTATTAATTGCTCACCTCTGGTGGTGTCCGTCAAAACCACATTGTTTTCACAGTTGATGAGGGGGGAGTGTAGGGGGAAAAAAAATAGCTGCAGAAAGTTTAGTATCACTTAAAGTCACCGTTGTTTACTACAAATAATGTATCGAGCATGCCTGTGGCTTCCTTACATATTGTGCTTCAACGGCTGTTGTCAAATTCTTCTTGTTTCACAATACAAATAATGTGACTGTTACCTCTCTGTCACAAGGTCTCATAGTTCTCCAGAAGTCAGCAAAATAATAAACAAAAAAAATACCGTCTTGTGTTTTTGGCAGTTGCTTGTAGACTCGTCGTGGCTCCCCCACAAACGGTCCATATTTTCTGTTACGCTCCTCCTTCCAAACATCAGATATATTGACCAAGTGGGGAATTGTGGAGAATTGTTAATAATTTATTGTTTACATAGGGCGGAGCCGAGCGACTGAACAAGGACGACGCATGTGAACTGAGCTCCGTGAGCGATACTGACTAAGGCTAATTTAAGATCCCCACAATTAAAGGGAAAACGCTGAAACTGACCCCAAGCTGACCATGGGCAGGAAGGCAAAGAAGCAGAAGTCGGACAAGCTCTGGCCGGGCATGACTATAGGAGAAATGTTCCGACAAGCGCAAGGTGCATGCGGACCCAAGATGGCCGCCGACCTCGGAGAACTGACTGACTCCTCTGAGGATCTGTCTCTGGATGAAAGCATCGTGGGGCTGCCTCAACCACCCCAGCCACGGCCGGGACCAATTACCTCAGCACCTGTGACGGAGGCAACTCTCAAAGCAATGCTGGGGGACCTCCAAAAAATCATCCAGGCCGACGTGGCATTACTCCGCACTGACCTTAAAGGCATGATGTGCCGCCTGGGCAAGGTGGAAACCTCGGCAGAGGCCGCAAACTGCGCCATAACCGAGCTCCAGGGCGAAATGGCTGAACTTAAAAAAACAACAGGGCCTAACGGACCAGCACTTCGCAATGCTGGAGGATGAAAGGCGCCGAAATAACCTCAAAGTAAGAGGAGTACCAGAAGAGGTGCCGACAGACGAACTACCTAATCTGCTCCGGAGGTTACTGGGGGCCCTTCTAACACCCAAAAGGGCCAAAAACGTAGTGCCAGAGGGGGTCTTCCGCATACCCAAACCCCGGAAAGCCCCAGCCACAGCGACCCGGGACCTGGTGGTGAAGTTCCGCAGCCGAGCGGACAAAGCGATGGTACTAGCGGCACTCCAGGGGAAAGGCCCCTATGCTTTTGAAAATATGACCCTCACTTTTTATGCGGATCTCACGGGAGACACCCTTCAATGGAGGGGAACGATTAGGCCATTCACCACCCTACTCCGGGAGCACGACATACGCTACCAGTGGCGCTCGCCACGAAAGCTGCACATACAGCAAGGGGATACCGTATACTGCGTGCAAGATATGCAAGAAGCAGCAGCACTCCTGCAAACCTTGGGCCTCCCAGCAGACATATTGCAACAACGTGGAAAAAGAGAACAAGGCCCCTCGATCAGCAGATGGGACCCAGCCAACGTCACCCCATTTGTGCCACAAGGTACCCAGAAAGATACTTACGCAGCAATTACCACCTGAACACTCGGGCGTGGTCACACATCACCGCTGCAACTGTCAGCGCTAGGGGAGCACATCTACCCCCAACTAGACATCGGATGACTCACCTTAAGAAGGGGACTTAATTTTAGGCACAGTGCCCAATACCTCTTTCCCTCCCATACCCCAGAGGAACTCTCATGACTGCATTTGCCCCCAGACTGGCCAGACACAGTGCATTGCTTTCCTGCACACCGGCACTGGCAGGACCCGCCAAATTGTTGATCCCAAACTGTGGCAGTGCAGCCCCAACAGCCTGGACTTTAGGGGACGTTATGCTGTGCAGATAGGGCCACTCGACCCAAACTGGGGTATTCTGGTACTCCTTTGTTAAAAGAAAGGGAGAAAAAGAGTTTCTCTTTTTTTTTTCTCTTTCATTTTTTTGTTTGGGACTCACACTCGTGTATTGTGAACCTCTATAGGGGTCTCACATGAGTCCACATAGTCTCTACCCCCACTTCAGTGCTAACATACTTATCCACCATAAGCTACCTAAAGGTTAAAGCATGTTATACTAATCCTGGTTTGCCTATCTGTAAATAGTATGACCTTTATTAATAACCACACTTGCATATCGACAGGCATTAATAGCATCAACCTGTTAACATATGGGATAGTGTAGCACAGGTGCCGTTGTCAGCAAAACTCTATCTTATATGTCACACACTCCTGCCGAAATGTCCCTATAATGCCTGTACTCCTACAAAATATACCTAGCAAGTTTCAAACCCTGTTGTCATACCTGTTTTAAAAATTGTGCATGAGTAGCATGATTTAACATGTTTCATTAATATAACTTAGACTGCCTTTTCCGTGAAATTCTGTTTAAAGCTGTTATACTAGAATTGGCATATTATACAAAACTATGACTGGGAGCAGCATATCTTTGGACAGTGGCATGTCTCTGGATCCCTAAGCATACTAATATACCCAGTAAGCAAATCTCACTCTAACTCACTCTAACCCACTCCCAATAGCAGTGTCATACAAATTAGAGGGACTACCCTGCCTTGTTACACCTGCTCATGTAGAAATGTATATATTGAACCTGCCTGACATGTACTACAAACGTAGATCTTAACATCCTTGTGATTACTTAACTCGTTAGGCAGCAATGGATGGTCGGACTAGCCGGTTAAACATATGCCGAGACACTATAAGCACATAAACATAGGCTCTGGGACCAACCTGCTAGGCAGGACCCTAATTGAGACCAACGTAATGTAACATACAATATAGCGAATCACTGAACAGTATGGTAGTGGCGCAGTGGATCCATAGCATATTACCTAAACCTGTACATAGTCTGTTAATCCTTGTAAGCTCCTGATGTTAACCAAAATGTCTATTCTACCTTTCGTAACTATCAGCCTGATTGAAACTACTGCTGTAGACATTTATATCTAGCCTGACTCCTCCTTAAAAAATTGTGCTGTCAATATTTTCGCCATGAAACTGTTTATTCCTTGTTATACCATCGGCTTGTATCTGCTGTCGTGGCGATATAAGCGTGTCTGTAACTCTAAGCACTACAAAAATCAAGAATTATAAAAAAAAAAAAAAAATTTGTTTACTATACATAGCTCAAATTCTGTGTTCACACTCGACACTCAATGTGTAAGTGCTAGGACCGTAGGTTAGTGGCTGAGCTGCGACTGAGTCCACTATTGGCCTATATTGTGCTGTTTTTACTTTTCACTAACATTAATGCTTGATGGAGCGGAGTTAGACCACACTGAACACGTCGTTAATCTTTGTTTTTTCATCCTTTCAGGGAAGCGGTTACAGGAATGGATCTCTGTTCTTCTGTGCTTCGTTTTGCTGTCCTACAACTTCTGCAGTCTCGTCCGCTATTTCACCCTGGATCACATAGCCAGCATTGTTTTTAGTATCTGTAAGTTGAACTCTTCCCATATTATTGTATTTATATTTTTAAAACCATTTTTAATTTAATTGTAACCTGACCACTTTATTCACATTTAAATTTAGTGTTGTAAAAAATGTGACTGTTGAATCCAACACAGTAATTTGCCAGGGTTCCATCTTGAAGGCAGCAGAGTTATATTGTTTAAAAAAACTTTTATTGAGTTAGGTTAAAAAAAACAAAACACAAATTGAAATACTGAAGCCGGATCCTGTATTTTTATTTGTGTCCATGGTGATATATTTTGATGCTCACATATAGCATACAGTTATCTGCACTGTTATATACGGTGCTCACAGTCTTGGAGTGCAGTGCTGGGTCTTGTGCTCCTCTGTGTAAAGGCAGCCACGTGGAGGGTCCAGCAGGTGTAGCAGGAGTCCATGTGTAAGCCGGTAGAGATCATATGGTTGGAAAGCAGTGATTGAGTAACCCCAGCACAATTGGTTCTGGAGATCCAACTCTGCTGGTGCCTTTTAGGAATTTGATAATAAACGGTATATTATATATTATAGGCTGAACCGAGTTTTATACAGGTGTTGACACTTTTTTTTTTTTATGAACAAAGGAAAACCGTATTTACTTACATTAGAGTGATTGTTAGGCAGAGGGGCAATGGGAATTACACTTGCTTAAGTTATATTCCTTTTGGCTTGCAAGGGTCGCATCAAAGCTATAGCTAACCTGCTTATCCGCAGACCACAAGATACCGTTATATAACCCCCATGCCGTGCTTGTCCTGATCACTTTCCAGCATATTACAGGCATTTCAGTATACAGGAGTGTACACACTACCTGATCTCACCAGTCCATTTACCGCATGGGTTTCGGTACTTGCACAAACATACTTTCATGTAAGCCAAGGCCACCCTTGCTGGTGTGACCATGATAGTCCTGGAACGTTTTGATCATACCTCTCTGTCCCAGATTGCTGGGAGTACAGATCTGTACAGATCTCTGTGAAACGAGAGGGCTTGGCTAATGGTTAAGGTCACTTACTGTAAAGTAGTATGTTACAACCAGTATGCAATGGCACTTCAATGTGCGCCACAAACACAGTGACTTCAGGGCTGTAAAAGCCTGAATGTAGTGTTTTAAAGGGAAACTCTAGGCACCAGAATTACTGCATCTTAATACACTGACGCTGCAGGCTCTGCAATCCAAGCACTGTCTTTTCTGAAAAAAGGCAGAGTTTATGTTGCAGTCGAAGGTCAACTCTAGAGGTTGTCCATGTACAGTCAGTCAGGCACTCCAGCAATACGTAAGCTGTAGTCCACATCACCTGGAGTGCTGAAGGTTACCTGCACTAGAGGGAAATCCTCGATGTAGTTCTGCAAAGATTGCAAAATCAAAGTTTGCTGTCTCCATGCAGAGTGTGGAGATGCATGGAGTCAATGCATCCCTATGATAAAATGCTGATTGGTATAGCAATTTCTATGCATGCGCACTAGCCTCCTCATGCTTTCCTATGAATGGGTAGGGTTCATCAATATTGATGACCTCAACCAGCAAAGCTGGGGTGACTGTTGCGAGACCGGTGTGCCAGGGGAAAAGGGCAAGTAAATCTATTTAACCTTCTTAATTAAGGAAAGCCTAATAATCTAAATTGTTCGTATTCTTCTCCACAGCACCTTCCTTGCATAGACCTCTCATTGAGCTGCTTTAGGAAGTCTGTGATTGGACAGCCACAGAAAGTCTGGGCGGAGTTAGAAGGGGAGGGCTGCAAAGGCAGCAGGCGAGATCTTTTTCAGATATAACCTCAGTGGAAAAATGCATAATTAAATGCATGAAGTTTTTCATTCGGGGTATATCTACTAAACTATTTTTATTTGTTTTTATATTTGATCCTTTTAAAGTGGCTGCTTTAAAACTTACATTTTCATATGACAATTAAAACAGCCAGTTTGGTTTGTAGAATCTTCTGGTAAGGCTTCAGATAGATGCAACGTTTATAAGTTACTGATGAAAGTTGAAGTGTAACTAGGTCCACAAAAGGTTGGAACTCTCTGTTCTAGATAACCGCAGAAATATAAGCTCTGTCACGGAAACGTATGTAAATAAATATAGCCCTGGTTGCTGTGGCAATACAACAAATAGTCTCTTATTGTAGAGTTTTTATTTGGCTTTGTAGAATTGTTAATGCAGGAGGAGGCATGTTTCCTGGTTTCTTATTTCCTGTAGCCTGCACAACGCATCCATGGCAGGCTCTCAAAGGCCCAATACGTGGTTTACGTTTATTTTGAAAAGTAGGGTTTTGCAACATGAAAAATGCAAGCTGTGTAACTATTAGCAACGCAGATAACGTGCAGGGCAGCAGAATGCAAGGAAGTTATTGCTAAATGCAAAGTTGTTATAAGTGAAAGCTGAACTGATGCATGGAGTTTGTTAAAATGTGCGTGGAATCGTTACACGATCTCTTGTTGTTGTAGTTTCATTAATGATGGACCTACAGGTCTGGAAGTGTTGGAGATATTAGATACATTCAGTCCCAAAACGACCTACATTTTGTGGTGTTTTCTTGTCCGTTTTTCAGATTGCATAATGTGGTGCATGCTGGAATAGCAAGTGTTGAAAGCACATGAGCCAGGGATTTTTTTACTGTGACTGTGCAGTGAGTATCATCATGGGGTGTGTATCTCTGAAATTCCAAGATGCCTGTTGTCATTGAAACTTGAGTCGGCTCCCTTGAGCCTGCATGCCGGGAGCAGCCTCGCGCTGGATGTGCTCTGCTGTCAGTGGTGTCCATTTCAATATCCCCTGTTTGCATATAATACATTATCTAGCAATATAATTCCATTACTAAATCCTTATAAAGCAAGCCTGAGTGCGTTATGTCCCCGTTAAACTGGAAATCGTGATTCAACTTGTATCATGTGAGATGCCGTAATGACAACATATTACTTTAACCCATTATGGCTTTCCATGCTTACACACATTTACATATTTAACTCTGATCCTATTTAAACATTCAGGGTCATTTTCAAATGAATGCTCCTAGCACCATAACTACCCCTCCGGCCTGCACACTCTGTCCACATGTCCCCACAATTTGATCATTATAATCACCATATTTTCTAAAATCCCCATATATTGCCCCATGCTATGTGCGTTTTATTTAGTTTTTGATCATAATGTGAAGGCCAGGATTGGCAGAGGGGCTGCAGCCATTTCCTGGTCTGGGGAAAGTGCAGAATATGCATAAAATACAACCTGTACTGCATGTGAGGTGTATACACAAAAAGCTGTTCACATTTTCTTGTATATATGTAGCAGTTCTGGCCAATTTAAACCCACTGAAAATAACTTGAACTGCCCCAGCCGGGACTCGACACCCCTCCGGCAGATCTAAGTCCCAGGCAGCCGCAAGATCATCTGTAGCAATAGGAAGCTCTGTCTGGTTCCAGAAATCACCCGCAGCTTTATCTACTGAGTAGGTGTTGATGCGTGATAATGTGCAGGTTCGCTGTAGTTAATGATTACCTGTTCATGTTCCTGTTGCAGGACTCGAACAAAGGGCTCATCTCTTGCAGGTGTCTGGTTAGAGAGACGTAAGTGATTGTTCTAGAGAGGCATGTAGACTAACCGCAAACCTGCACAGAATGTTCTCTGACCGACTCTTAGCGTTTTATCCTCCCTGAGACAAGGGAAAAATGTTTATCTTCAAAAGTGTATTTTTCTCTTCCTGAATCTGCTTTCTCCTACTTTCTGAACTTCTTAGATTTCTAAAATGCTTCAGTAAGTGAATAGTGTAACCCTATTAAAATTTAACATCTAAACAATATATAATGTTGCATGTGGTTATAGTGATTTATTCAAATTGCTGCCAGGCTTATACATAAGATGTTTAATGTGCAGCAATACATAGTGACTGACCTGTCTATTTAAAGGAACACTCGTAACCTATATGGCGTTCTGTAGAGATTCTGGCGGCATTTTCTGTAAGTGTTTGACACTAACTGTGCTCAGCCTGTGATCATTGTGGTCTAATTGCTGTGAAAATGTGGAAGTTCGTACAATTCTGCGTTATCACTGTCTGAAAGGGGTAACAGATTAGCTTCAGACATTGTCCCGGCTCCCTTAAAAGTATTGCAAGTAATGTATTTATTAAAAATAAGTGTGTGTGTGTGTGTGTATATATATAGTGTGTGTGTGTGTGTGTGTATATATTTATAATTAAAGAGGGGGAATTTAAAATACATTTATTGCTGCACTTGAACAGAAAACGTCAGACTCCCCTCACCTGCAAGAAACGTCATCAATTAGACTGCGCTCATTGCTGTCTATAGATTATAAACTGATCCCTAAACCTCTGTCCAGTAGGGGTTTATGGGATCATTAATTTATCCTCCACAGCTGCAAGTCAGCTCCTCCTATAGGAATAATGGAACCGCTCAATCAGCGGCTCTATAAACCTTCTCAATGATGCAGGTTGTTGTGGTGCTAAAACTGACCTTTTTAATGCTGAGGATTCTTAGCTATAAATCCAGTTACTCGCCCTAGAAGTGTCAGCTCAGGCTGTATGTGGTCTGGTCCACGTGGCACCCCATAATGTCATCCCACTTTTCAGTGGCCAGGTAAGTACATCCTATTGCTCTGTAAATCTTGAACACAGTCATGTTAACTCTGCAAGACTCAGATTGGTGTGTAGGATAGCGTTTCCAATATCTGATTACAAACTGTTAGAAAACCCTAATTAAATCTTTATCGCTTTGCAGTAATTAATCCGTCTGGACTGATTGAGAATGTCGTCACAGATCCAGTCTGCCCTCCACAACTCCCAGAGCCCTTGGCCAGCTTCTCTGGCGAGCTAATGTTTGTAGCAAATTCTGACGTTTTGAACTTTTCATAATGCGTCTGAATCAAGCAGACTAAATGAACTTGCTGCTGAAGCCAGTCCCAAGGTGTAATCCGTTTAACATATTCCCCCTGTGCGCAGATTAAGATCAGAGAAATTGTTATAGTAGGATTAAGGCTCTCCAGCCCATTGATAGCGCAGGTGCATGTAAATAAGAGAGTGTATCCATAGTTCTTATATTAAAGGGACACTCCATGTGAACAAGTGCACATAATGTATATATTATATGTATGTGTATATGTGTGTGTGTGTGTATATATGTGTATATATGTATGTGTGTGTATATATATATATATATATATATATATATATATATATATATATATTTTCTACCGTTAGGAATACTGCGCCTCCTGAAAACTGCACCATTACAGAGGGAAGTCACGTGCATTTTTGTTTTTTCACCTCTGTAAACCTAGAAGTGTTTACGGAGTCGATTTTGTGGCAGACGTGACTAAATACATAAACAATACCAGGGGAACTGCCATTTTGGGGTCCTGATTACCAGGACTTGACACACAAACACATTGATGGTTATATCTGCAAAGCATCCGATGCGCAATTACCTTTGGAATCTTCTGAAACCTTATTTGCATCCAATGCCTGACTATGCCACTTCAGACCTAGCATGTCCAAATTATAAAAATTCAGTAACAAAACGGTGTGCCTGCTGGATAATCTAAATCTGCCCTAACCTAAACCAGGACAGTCACATCTACAATAAAATCCCAGTACTTTTTTTTGATTATTTTTTTTAAACTATTTTTCTTTTATTATTTGTCTCGTTCCACTTATGAAAAAGATACACACAATAGCAAAATGCCTACAGCAGCATCAAATCATTAGGCATTTACTAGACGTGGAGTGAGGAATTTTATTATAAAAGATATATTGCCAAGCCTAGGAGTGCACACAGAATTGGTGATACGGTGTCATTATAGAAATATCCAAAGTGGCTGATTGGTAAGTCTAGCTTACACATGAGAAACGACAATCGAAAAAAATCCTAAAAAGAGCATTTGGCATAAATCATAAACCACGACACGTATTGCTCTGCAATAATGGGAACTGTAGCGGAGGATTCACCCGGGTTACCAGAAGTTGGAGATGCCCAGAGACTGTAGAAATGTGGGAGCTAGGGTCAAATTAGCGATTGTGTAGAATGTGCTGTTTGCTTCTGCTAGTAATCAGCGAGGGCCCCATGTGCAGGAGACTGTGTGTTCATGGAGAATCTTGGTAAATGGTCGGAAAGATGCCTCCACATTACGGTGTCGGGACAAGTCCCTAAAAAAAAACCAGAGCTGTGCTCCCTTGAGTACTTCTCCCTTTTCAGGCCTTCATGTTTTCTGTTTGCAGAGGTGTGATGATGTGGAAATCCTTGCTAACCAGAGACACTGCGTGTGAAGTGTTTAATGATTCTCATCTCGCCAGCATCCTTTTACTTAGTGCTTCAGAGCTTTTGCATATTTCTCTTGGCAGGAAACGCTGTGACACACGGGACATTCCTGTGTACGCAGCGCTGTTTGTTTACGGAGCGCTCAGCAAGCTGTTTACATCACTCGTCTTCTGGGTCTTCTTAATGGTCTCTCCAGGGCTTATACTGTTTTAATGGCGGAGCACAGATTGCAGCAGTTCTTACCAGTCAGTCGTTTTTCCCGATGTGAGGGGGGAGAGCGTTTTCTCTGGATATATCAGACTGTGCCGCTGTGCTTTCTAAGGTGCATACCAATCCTCTGCCTCGCATTACCGCAGGCTCTTTGGCTTCCAAACCCTAGGCGGTGGCGACGTTGTGAAATGTGTGGTTATGGATTTGATACTTAATAAGTCTGTGCCGGCAGCTCTGCTTCCTCTTTAAATTGGCTCACGCTTTGTGGTTTGAGATCTGGTTACTGAGAGGCCAATGTGCTCATACATTTATTGTAAGACATTCGGTAAACAAGAAGCCAAGATTTATTAATATCCAAGTCTGGGCAGCAGGAAAGTTAGATATCAAAAGTGTAAAACCAGTTGTAAGTGTTTGGGAGCATCTTCCTGTCAATACATGAAAACAATATTTGGTAATGTGAATTTGTGATTTGATTAAAGGTAAACGGAGCCATTAATGGACCCATTAGGCCTTAGAATTAAAGGACCACTACAGTGCCCTGAGGGTGCCCTAAACAGCACTAAACAAACCACACACATCATATACACTTACACACATTGCTATGGATCAGCGATAGTTTATCTCATTCAAACAAATCATACACCGCTCTGCGGCTGATTGACAGATGGAGCATCCTGGGAAATGTAGTGCCAAATGATAGCTGCCATGGATATATGCTCCTAATATTACTTTGCACCAGCGACTGTCACTGGTGGATGGCCCCGATTTCTCAATCTTCCCCTTTTAGTTAACACACAGAAGCTTTGTTTATTTATTCCCTTCTCTATCTCTCTTCCAATTCAGCTGATAAAATAGCCAATATACTGATAATAGTGTGTAAACAGTGGCAGATAAAGGCCAACAACCTGTGAGTCTGGAGAGGGGCAATAAATTACAAGTAACGTGTCTCCTTATCATGGAGCTACTGCGGGAAATTGATTTATTTATAATTCGCTTTGAGTCATAAATTCTGAAAAAATACTTTCTTATTTAAATGACTAAAGGACAAAACAATAATATGTACCTGCTAATGGAATAGTTTGCCTTATATTTTTATGTGAATATTTTAATCTAGTAAATAAGTGGTTTATTATGCATGAATTGTGCCATTGTACAGCGCTACGGAATATTGCTGGCGCTATATAAATAATAAAATAATATAAATTACGTGGCAGCTGATCGCAATGCCCATCAAAAGATTAGAAAAATAAAGAGCACACACACCTTCTCCTTTAATCCTGCAGTTTAATGTAACGTTTACTATTGCACCATCTCCTAGCCCCCTGTTATAAGATGTTGTTGTGTTTATATGACAATAGTCTTGCGGCAAGCCTGCAGCGCTAGCATTGCTCTACCCCTTCCACCAGCCATATGTTAGCACCGCCCAGTGCGGCTGCCTTTGGTAATATCTATTTTCTTACGGTAATGCTTCTAGAATTTGTGTTTCTCCAGAATTTGTGGGAATTGTGAAACCACTATTTATTTGTATAATATTTATTGATTGATTTTCTGTGTATTTCTTTTTTCTCGCATTATGCATGTCCATTTATATAATTTTTATCTATTTTTCTCTTAGTTGCGGGAATCATCACAGCTGACTTTGCCTCGGGGTTGGTCCACTGGGGAGCCGACACGTGGGGATCCGTGGAGCTTCCGATTGTTGGTAAAGTAAGTGATCTTAGTAAATATTTGTCTAAATATTCCCAGCTACAAAAGTACAGGTCGGTTTGCTCAATTGGCTCCAAAAAATTTTAACAAAATTGGGTTTATTGGTATGGTGGAAGGCGTCTGCTATACTATAACTAAACCCTCATTGGTTTTTTAGATATGTCATTTTTTCTTTATTTTTTTCAATTGTATATAATTATCACAAACTGTAACCTACACAGGGCACTTAGTGTGTAAAAGAAAGATTTTGACGCTAAAGCGCTTCTTAATAAAAAAAATTTTTTATTTATTTTTTATCTTTTTATATTTATATGTATTTTCTTTGTTCTATTCCAGGCATTTATCAGGCCTTTTCGGGAACATCATATTGACCCCACAGCGATTACAAGACATGATTTTATTGAAACGAATGGAGATAACTGCATGGTAACGATTCTTCCTTTGGCTAGCATGGCATACAAGTTTCTGTTCCTAACTCCAGGTGAGTGGTGCACAAACAGCCAATTATCAGAGACACTGTAAATGGATAGAGTAGAACTGAATTGCTTTGCATTTTGATCATTGTTGGATTGAATGGAAACACCATTGTTCCTCGTGGTCTCTGAAATATATTTACTTTTATTTCCACTCTGTATACATATTTTTATTTCACTAGATTTTTAATGGGTATTGTTCATTCTGCAAAGACAATGTGGTATCCATTATTTAGACTAACTAGATCATGACAAGGAAGGAAGTAGAAAGGGGAAAAGAGAGGAACTGATTAATGTAGGATTGTGACAGCTGGAGATACGATGTGAATCTTTATACTGGAAGAATGTAATAATCCGTACTGGGCCTCTTGTTAACTATGAGCAGAAGAGTTGGTTTTGTCATTTTATCTGAGTTTTCTGAAGGTTTCTGTAGCTTTCATTGTACCATTCGTTCTTTGGTTTGTGTTTGACATGTCGTTACTCTCTCCCCACATCACGACCTTCCAGATGTAATTTACAAATCGTACCCGACAGAATGTTTCATCTTCGCCCTCGCCATGTTTGTGACGCTTACAAACCAGATTCACAAGTGGTCTCACACCTATTTTGGTCTTCCTTGCTGGGTGGTCTTCCTTCAAGATTGGCATGTTATCTTGCCACGTAAACACCACCGCATCCACCACGTGTCCCCACACGAGACCTACTTCTGTATCACTACAGGTACGTTTCTATTTTGTTTTGTGAAGTAATCACAATGGTGATTGGATTATTTCTGCAGATCAGATTTTGACATTTGGCTTTGGGTGCACACTATTCCAATCTCCACAAATGCCTTAATGGGTGATTGTTGTGTTAATGATCCCATTTGTGCTAATGAAATATCTATCTGCAGTAATTGTTAAAATGTGCACACACAGGTTTAATAAGGAACGAACAAGAAATGAAGCTCTGCTTGCTGATATCACATGATTGTAGTTAGTTCAAAACAAAATTGCCGCTTCTTTCTATTTAAAGAAACACTGCATTTAATAGCTTTGGCCTAAATTAGCCATAGCTTTATTTATTTATTAAAAACCAAAGAAAAACAAGTTACCTGCACTCTCTCATTAATTCCTATGTATCTTTAAACAAATGGAGGTTTTTTAGTTACCTCCAATGGCCATGAGAGGATAAGCCCACCTGCCAACGTCAAGGCAGACACCCCCAGGTGGGTCCTAACTCTAACCATTCACCTTGCTTCCTTGAGCTTCTGGCAAAGATCTCTAATGAGACAGAATATATTATTAACCCTTAATAGGGAACCCATGGGATGGGCGGCTGCATTGTAACAAGGCTGAGTGATACAAAAAATGGATACAAATTCTGAAAGAGAAGTCATGCGCTCACTCCCAATACTTCTGGGCGGCAGCAAAGACTACAGTACACATCAGCCCCAATATATAGTTAAAACCAAAGAAAAACATCTCATGGCCATTGGAGGTAACTAAAAAAACCTCCATTTGTTTAAAAATACACAGGGATTAAGGAGAGAGCGCAGGTAACTTGCTTTTCTTTGGTTTTAACTATATATTGGGGCTGATGTGTACTGTAGTCTTTGCTGACGCCCAGAAGTGATGGGAGTGAGCGCAGGACTTATCTTTCTGCATAACTTTATTTATTGCTCACAAAATGTTAAATCATTTTTACCTGGAGGGGGGAAGGTTTGCAGCATTCTAAATTTTAACACTTTGCCCTCTTTCCCACCGCCTTTTCTTAAGTGCTTCCATTTTGCTGTATCTTTGCAATAATGGGTTTTCATATGATCACAACACACAACAAAGCTTTCTGGTACCTGTACTTCTAACCGCTTACCTGAGTGAAAACTCACAACTGGCTTAAAACAGAAACTATACTCTGCCTATTAACCCCGGCTAAAAAGGGAATTATAAAGTTATTGAAGCATCCTGGTTGGCCAATCACCTCTGTCTGGACAGCAAAACAATGTTCATTGTAAAATGTCTGACGAGACAAAAAAATGGCTTGATCTTTTTATTCTGAGATTTCCCTGCTCATAGTCCTAAAATAGCATCACCTTACAGTGAGCTAGAGGCTGAGTTTAGACTGAGGTTTTTACCGGCCTTTTTGAAAGCGCACGTAGCAGTGTCCTAAAACTGCCCGACATTTCTAATCCAACTGCAGCATGCCACGTGCCTACTACTGTAAAATCCAAGTTCTCTGCTGTTTTCATGGTTCAAATTAGAAAAACTATGGTCTCAAATGCCTGCAGTGGTTATGATAGTTAATGCCTGATCCACTTTTTGATGTTTGAATTGAGGATGGCCAGGTGCACTAAGGACAGATAAAAGTCTGATGTTTAATCCTGGTACAGTATCTTTTGTATTTATGAATTTGATTTGGTCCTAGAATAAAGGACAAGTAAAATGCGTTGAACGTTGTGCGTTAAGTCTTTGATTTTAAATATATTGTCTTTCCATTTTTAAGGTTGGCTGAATTACCCACTGGAGAAGCTTGGCTTCTGGAGACGCCTAGAAGACCTCATCCAGAGTGTGACTGGAGAGAAGCCACGATCAGATGACTTGAAATGGGCTCAAAAAGTGAAGTGAACCGACACATCTCTGACCCAACCTTGAACCAGTTTGCCAACTGTTTTAACTCAAAATAAATGAAACCTAAAGCCATTAGCCAAATGTCTAAAATGAAAATAACACAAAAACCAGACTTCTATGGAATTACTGACTTTTGAAGCGCAAACTAACTGTGCTAACACCATAAACTGTTAAGCAACTACTCACACTCCATAAAACTCGCGGGGCGTAGCCGAGCAGTGAGAGTACCCCTTGTTTCTGTGTGCCGGAGCTCTAACCGTTTAATTTGCGGATGTTCTATTTGACATTTCACCTTGCTGAGCCTCATGCCTCCATCCCATGAGCCAGATTAGATGACGATTGTACGCAAACTAACTTGCACTATGGAAATCCATCAGTGAAAATGATTTCGCATTTGTTGTATCAACATGAATCTGCTGCCCTTGATATAGCTGACATTTCATGCAAATATGAAGATTATGTGCAGAGTATTTTATTTAGAATTTTCTAATTATATTTTTTGGGTCACCTGGTATTTTAGAAGGGCTAATAGTGCATGTGTGGTTCAAAATCAATAAAATGATGGATCGGCGTTCAGATTGAGTGCACGGCACAAGTTTTAAAAAAAGGAAAAGAAATATTTTTTTTTTTTCTTTCATATATATATTTTCTCAAGACCGTAAAGGTAATGTCCTAAATTTCTGACAAGGTGGTCCTCGCCGCTTTTTTAATCTTGCGCTGATATTTTAGGAATATGTTTAAAATGTTCAGGTTGGAGAAATTCCCATGTTTCATTTGTTTGGGGTATGGAAAGGTCATATTTCTGCGCCAACTTTTAACTCTTAAGTGCCAGTGTGGTGAGCCCTGATTCACCAGTGTCCACCCACAGAGTTTAGTTCCGGCACCGACCACCAGAGTAAGCTAGGAGTGTGTAATCCACATTAACGGTTTTAGGAATAAAAAGGTCACAGAATTGTTTAACAAGCCAACACACTGCTGAGACTGTTTAAGCCATTGCTAATGTGTGTTCTCCCTTACCGGTGGAGTTGGTTGTCTGTAGGTTAGTAGGTGGTAGGAAAATGTCCCTTTTTGAAGTGCACAAAGTGAGTTTGTTGTTGTGTATAACGTTCTGTTGGTGTCGGGGAATAATCTTGACATTTGATTTTTGTTGGTGGCAGTTGACCTGTCAGTGTTTTACAGTCCAGATTAGAGCTGTTCGCTGACCACATCTATTAGGATGTGCCAGACAGTGGTGTTCGTGACTCCTTGAGTTTCCTCTTTTCACAAAGAGAAAACATTGTTTTGGACATCTGTTGAAAAGGTTTATTTTTTTTTATTTTTTATTATTAAATAATCTAAATAAACAGTTGTCTTGGAACATTTTCCTATTCCACAGATGGACAGTTTATTCCCAATAATTCATGGTACTGAATACCAATTGATCAGACATGAGCCCACTGATAAATTACAGATCCAATTACTTTGCGCGTTATGAGGCCAGCATACACGTTTGCATGTTACAATCGGTTTTGAGAATTGTTGAGCAGATTATCTGCCTAGGCTTATTTGTTAATACACCAACTGTGTAATATCTTCAAAGCTTGGGTGCAAAGCCTCAACTCCCAGCAGGGTCCAGTCTGCCTGTCATTCTGCCGAGTACAACGAGACCGTGTACAGCTGAGTTGTATAATTCCTCCTCCACTTGATTTGCACAAGAAAGTTTCTTTCCTGTTTCAATGTTTTCCTTGTTATCAATATAGTTTGTGAGAGACAAGGCACTTGCACTGTCCAATTATTAGAGTTTTTACAAACACAAGGCCATCTAAAGATTATTTTATCAAAATCCAGATGTTTTGAGTCTGTCCAGCTGGATTGTTAGAATGTCCACAGTTTTTTATTCAGCTGGCAAATATAACCAGATACAACTATGCCAAAAGAAGTCACTTCACTGAAATTGTTTAATATTTTTAACCCCTCACATAAGTTACCTAATAGATCTATTTATGTATGTTTTGGCTCGCTCTTTGCTATCTATATATTGATTCATTTATCTATGCACAGCTTTCACAACTACCTTATCAATGACAGCCTGGGAATTTCGTGAAGATTTGCTTATTTTTCTTCACAATGCTCTGGAAAAAATAAAATTCGATCTGGGTCCATTTTTCTTTCTAAGTCTGTGATTTTGTCAGCGAATTGCACTAATGGGAGAATTTGCCCAGTTTTACTATCTTGGCTCACTGCGTGCTGTTCTCTGATTAAATCATGGTTCCGACAACTACGTTTTCTTGCTGAGAATTTCATGAATCTGAGCAAAATGTCCCCACTGACGCTCTCTATGGTTCCTGGACCAATAGTGTTTTTTTAAAGATTACTGACCACGGAAGATTTAAACGTCTCTTGTTTAACTCTTGAAGGTGTCGTTTTCAAAATAAACTAAAACTCTGTTACTTTTCATGTATTTAATGATTGTGCACGGAAACAGACAAAGGTTATAGGAGGAGCATTATTATCCGAGTTGGCTGCCCAAACCTGGAAATGTAACATCATGGTCAGTTTATTCCGAACAGATTTGGTGAAATGTGCAACTGATTAAAGATTGTTTATTGCTCGGTTAAACAGCATGTGACGGACATTTACACAACTACTGCAATCAGAGAAATGTAAACTGAAAATCAGATATTGGGCTGCAATATTTGGGGGTTTTGTTGTTGTTAGTCTGTTTCAGCCTTAAATTTGGAATCTTATTGTGAATTCCTGACAGTTTGCCCTGCCTGTTGTAAATTAAAACTGATTTGCCGGATTAAGACCATAGTTGAGCTAGAAAAACAAATCAGCTAGACCAGTCAGCACTTGGCTATTCTAGCCCAGAGTTAGCAATTTGTTTTTCAATTCACTTTTTAACTTAATGAAATCGCCAATAATATGTTTTATTGGTCCAAAAAAAAAAAAAAAGTTTAGAGTCTTTTGATGGGAACTCCATGTTTTGGTATTTCGAATGGAACGAAACCAGTAGCACAATAGTTATTCTTTACAGTATCTTTAATCCTTATCTTCCAGCTCTCTCCATCTATGCTGTTAAGAAATAATCACCGTAGTAAATATTGCCCTAAACATCTGGATTTTCCCCTGATTGCACCCAGTACGAATGGTATCACAGGGCTGTTTGTGTTGGTTTATATAATCTGTATTCAGGAGCTGCTGTATCAAAGTGTATGAAGGAATACGAATAAGCCTGATGGTATTTTTTATTTTTAAGGTGCTCGGATTTTTGTTTCCCTGTACATTATATGAAGCCTTAAAATATAAAGTTTTTTCTTGTGTAATAGGGAATATTTTAATTTCATGTTCTAAATGTGAATATATTTATAACAAAAAAATTAGACATTACTAATCGATTGTGAAAAAACCTGTCTGACTGTATTTTTTTCCCCCTCGTAAACAAACACGTACAATCGTAACATAACAAACGGTCTGTATCTGCAGAGTGCAGGATATATCCACCTTGGTAACAAGATGGCAGATCTGTTCTCCTAAGAACATTCTGACACCTTCCACTACCCACATGACTGGAAGCGTGTATTTAAAGGAACACACCAGTTTTTTTTTTTTTAGTTTTTTTTATTATTATATATTTATTTATTTTAGGGCCATCATTATTTTTGCAGTGCTTTCTGTTCAAAACAAGCAAAAAATGACAATCTGAAAGGTTAACCACAGATGACAGTGGGTTATCAGTGTATGTTGAGGATTGAGCACCTTTCAACCAAGCTGAGAATGCCACAGTACGAGCAGTAGATATAACAATACAAACAATAGTGATACGGTAAATGGCATGACATAATTCTAAGTTATAGTATCTGGATAAGCTGTCGTGTCCAATCTGTTAATAGACTAAGCGAAGTCCAGTCAGGAGTCACAAGCGTTGCCCATAAATGCAAAAAGTCTGACGTATGGGTGCTACACAAATGTCACCCTGCACTGGCTTGTCATTATTCAACCTATTCCCAGACATAGTTGGAGCAAGACAAGGCATTCTTCCAGCCCGAGGTCCAAATGGAGGCCAGGATCTGCATGCCATGGACTTGTCTCTGAAAGTCCATGTCCTTGCCACATTGTGGGAAACAAGGCTTTGGTGGTCTTGTACTGCCTATGAGGTTAGCCAGCTGTCCATGAGAGTGATGTCCTTAGTGGCTCTCGGAGGCCCTTGGCCCGGGTGGGCTAGCAGTTCAGTAAACCGCCGTCAAAAGAGCTATACATGAAGGAGTACCACTCGCCCACAGGCTCTCTCCCTCCCATAATCTCACACCTGAGGCTTCTGCAAAGTTCTTGCTGTGCGATTCTCAAATAATGCCCAGAAGCATGTGAAGGTTTCGTCCAACTGGCGCAGAGACTGCTCTATCGAGCTGTGAAGAGCCCTCCCGGACTGTACAGGAGAGTCCACTTGAGAAAACGGTGCGTCTGCCATCTTGGGAGGAGCTGCTGTGTTCTGGTTCATACTGTAGCTGATTTCAGGAGACTGGGTGGGGAGCAACTCAGGGTTACCAAGTGTTATAGCGTGGACCAGGATAACCCCCACCGGCGCAGGAGGGGGAATATGGGACTCTGACACAAAGCAGCCTGTAGGGTCCCAAGCGAGAAGTCGGCCGCTGTTCCCAGCGTGCCCCACACTATGCTGCGACAAACTGGAGAAGACTTCACTGGAGCGTTCAGCAACTCCCAGACACCTTCAGGTTCCGGGTCAGCGCAATTCTGCAATGGTGACCGCTTTATTGCCAGAGATTAAAGCGAGAGTTCGTGGAGCTTGTGTCTGATGCCTCCGCTTGACCAAACTCCCCCCCCCTTTTTATATTTATTTATAATGTTCCCCTCTTTTAGTTTAGATTACTGACCCAACAAAAAAAAATCTAAATCTATATAGATTGAACATTTTAATTCTCCTCACAGCAGCCTAAATGTAATCATTTATAGTCCTCAATCTTGACAAATTGGCACAAGACAGCAGATGGATTCATAACTAAATCTACCTGTGTCAGAACCTCTTCGTGGCTGTCAGTAGATCTACAAGTATACGCGGGATTGCAATATGTAAACAGTGCCTTCATTTTTAAGGCTGCAGGGGGGTCTTCTTTGCTCCAAAAATACTTCATTAAGATGAATTGATTTTGGAGCTTAAAGGACCACTATAGGCACCCTGACCACTTCAGCTTAATGAAGTGGTCTGGGAACCAGGTCCAGCTAGGATTAACCCTTTCTTCTAAAAACATAGCAGTTTCAGAGAAACTGCTATGTTTACCTATGGGTTAATCCAGCCTCTAGTGGCTGTCTCATTGACAGCCGCTAGAGACGCTTCCGCTTCACAGTGAGAAGACGCCAGCGTCCATAGGAAAGCATTGAGAATGCTTTCCTATGGACTGGCTGAATGCGCGCGCAGCTTGGGCCGCGCATGCGCATTCAGCCGATGACGGCGAGGAGAAGCATCCCACGCCCGGCGCTCAAAAAAGAGGTAAATTTAACTCCTTCCGCCCCCTAGAGCCCTTTTAGAGCCAGGAAAATGAGTATGTTTTCCTGGCACTATAGTGGTCCTTTAAATAGTTTTACTGGGTGAGTTTATATTATTAAAGGGACACTCCAGGCTCCCACACGCGTTAGGTGCACTGTGTAGGTTAGGTTACAGTTAGTTATACTGGGTGGGTTTATATTATTAAAGGGACACTCCAGGCTCCCACACGCATTAGGTGCACTGTGTAGGTTAGGTTACAGTTAGTTATACTGAGTGGGTTTATATTATATTATTATGGACATTACAATCTAACCACGGTCTGTAGAATACTCAGGGAACTCAGCTGCTCACACTGGAGAATCTTTTAAACCTAGAATGCTTTATTGGTCATTTCTATTAGGTCTCACAACTTAAAAACCTGCAAAATAAATCAATTATTTACCTAAAAAGGGTCGGGCAAAGGTGTCCTCACTGGTTTCAACTCCCTGTCCAACGTCACCCCTCCCTTATGAGCTCCAATTAAATGCTTGTAAAAAAAAATAACTAAATAAATAAACAGAGGGATTGTTAGAAATCATGGGAGTTGGAGATGGCAAAGTGGGCCTTAAATGAGAGAGGGATGGGAGATAGAAGTGCATTACATGCTAGGGGGAAATCTGATAACGTCCGTCTCCAGCGCACAGTGGATGTTAACGATAGATGTGCTTTATGCACATATTTACATGCGCACACACAGAGACCTTCCACCATAACCACTTCTAAAAGCAAACGTGGTCATGGTGGTTGGAGTAACCCTTTAACTGCTTTCTGTAAAAAACCTGGGGGACACCTCCGCTCACACTGCAGGGAGAGCTATGTGTGCAGCTGTGATTGGCATTCAGCCAAGTGCACATTACTGGTATGAATCGGTATGGCTAGAAGGAAGTGTGTAATATCTACCTTAGCCATAGCCACATCCAAGTGCTAAACTGCTCCAAAATGTTTAAAACAGTAAATGGAGGGCAAGAGCCAGGGAACTCCAGGCATTATAACCAATTCAGTGGTTATAGTGCCTGCTTAAAAAGTATCTGATTAAAAGTATGTATTTTAAAAATGGCACTAAACATATTGCCACTTCCTTTCTAATAAGGTATAACATCCTTTATGACACACGGACGACTTGTATGAAAAAAAAGTAATGATTCATTCAAATCGAGGTAAATCCTGCGCGCGTGTTTCTGAGCAGATACGCTCAAACCTTAGACAGGAGGCTGCAATATGACACCTTGTCTCCAGGGTGTGAATACTGAGCCCAAGTCTGGGTATTTAACAAGAAATGAGATACAGTTTGTAGCTGTCGGATAAATACTTTGCACTCACAGACAGCCTCAGCTAATGGCAGATTAAAATGTATAGTTAGATAATCACACAGGCTTGGTGAATACGCCCCTTATTTTCCTTCTGCACAGTGACTAACTGTGATCAGACCTGAAAGAAATGTTTAGTGACCTCCTTGCTGACTTGTCCTTTGTTAGCTGACATTTGGAAAGTGTCCTGGATAAACCGTCTCAATCAGATACGTACAATATATAAACTCGGCCAAAACTTAACTTAAAATGTCCAAGATTAACCCAAACAATCCAGAACAAGGGTACTGGCAGGCTATCACCCTCTATAAACAAAGAAAATCCTAGTGGTGACACGTGCGATCGAAATCTCCATTCTGGCTGGGATTTAGAGATTGTGGTGAATATTATTTGTCTTGTTGCGTGTTCGTACATTTCCTATTATGTTATTCGTTTGTTCACTGCAGAAGTTAACGTGATTCGCTTTGTCATGACTCATGTTTGTGGCATTGTGTCATTAGATCAAAAGTTCACAGGGACTTACTTGTTACTACAACAAACCACTTTGCCAGTGAATTCACACAAGTAGCTAATACAGTGCGTTTTGCAGCCAGGGACAGCTTGAGGCCCTCAGACACCCAGTACAAAACATGTCCCCCTGGAAGAGCCTTAATGGCGAAACGCGCGTCGGGACGTTAGATAGTATGGTGTTGGTCTAGGAGATAAGGGACGACATGTATTAATACCGTTATGATATTACCACCCATACTTTATCTCTTTATTTATTCATTCGATTTTTTTTATTTCTGGTTACTATCTATCATAGCCGATTATTTCCATGAGATACCTTTACAACCACTTCGTTTTACATAGACCATTAGGCTGTATACCAAATTGGAGGTGGGGGGACTAGCATTTTTTAAGGGGTGCCCTCAAAGGCACAACAGAATACGGAAGTTAGCCTTCAATTTAGATTTACCTGCAGGACTTTCTCCCAGCTCTATTTACCACATGTGCTATCTTGTTACATCTCTCCCCTCCTGGCTAATTGGTTATGCTACAAATGTAACCTTTATCTTTTTGGTACTTTATCCTTTGTTAAGAATTTTTTTTCACGCATTGCAACGCATGGTGTGATCACTAAGCCATTACCTATTTAATTATCAATTGTTTCAAGCTTTTTGTTATATATATATATTTTTTAATTCTTTATTTTTTCTGTGCAAGGTAAGTACATGTATATGTGAAGTGCCACAACAGCACTCATAGAGCAAGCAACAAACTTCAAACTTCACTTGGCGTCTGCACATTTTTGTTGCTGTTATTATTATGTTGGATCAAGCTAGACACAATTTTAAGGTATATAGCAAATAGATGCTACGTTAAAGGGACACTATAGTCACCTGAACAACTTTAGATTAATGAAGCTGTTTTGGTGTATAGAACATGCCCCTGCAGCCTCACTGCTCAATCCTCTGCCATTTAGGAGTTAAATCCCTTTTTTTATGAACCCTAGTCACACCTCCCTGCATGTGACTTGCACAGCCAGGGCCGGCGCTACCTGTAAGGCGGACTAGGCAGCCGCCTAGGGCGCCCCTTGGGAAGGGGCGCCGCCAGGAGCGCCGCCCCCCCCATGCTGCAGCCGCCCGAGCGCTCTGTAGAGAGCCCGGGCGCAGCCTGAGGAGAGGGGCTGACAGGAGGGAAGCGCTCAGCGCTCCCTCCTGTCACTCCCTCTGTAGTAGCGTGGCCGAGCCCTGTATAGTCGGCGGGTACAGGGAGCTTTTGTTTCCTGTACCCGGCTGGACTAACAGGAAGTGCACACTGAGTGTTCACTTCCTGTTAGTCCGGCCGGGTACAGGAAACAAAAGCTCCCTGTACCCGCGGACCATACAGGGCTCGGCCACGCTACAACACAGGTAGGGGAGGAGGGGGAAGAAAGAGGGAGGGAGGGGGAAGAAAGAGGGAGGGAGGGGGGGAGAAGGAAACGGAGGGAGGGGGGAAGAAGGAAGAGGGAGGGAAGGAGGAGGAAGAAAGAGGGAGGGAAGGAGGGGGAAGAAAGAGGGAGGGGAGGGGGAGAAGGAAACAGGGAGGAGGGGGAAGAAAGAGGGAGGAGGGGAGAAGGAAAGAAACAGGAGGGAGGGGGGGAGAAGGAAACAGGGGAGGAGGGGAAAAGAAAGAAACAGGGAGGGGAGGGAGGGGAAGAAAGAAACTGGGAGGGAGGGAGGGAGGGGGGAAGAAAGAGGGAGGAGGGGGGGAGAAGGAAACAGGGAGGGAGGGGGGAGAAGGAAACAGGGAGGGAGGGGGAGAAGGAAACAGGGAAGGAGGGTGAAGAAAGAAACAGGGAGGGGAGGGGGGAAGAAAGAAACTAACAGGGAGGTGGGGGGAAAGAAACTAACAGGGAGGTGGGGGGAAAGAAAGTAACAGAGAGGTGGGGGGTAAGAAACTAACAGGGAGGTGGGGGTAAGAAACTAACGGGGGGAAGAAACTAACAGGGAGGGGGGAAAGAAACTAACGGAGGTGGGGGGAAGAAACTAACAGGGGGGAACTAACAGGGAGGGGGGAGACATTGACAGGGAGGGGAATTGACGGGGAGAGAGAAATTGACAGGGAGGGGGGAGTGACAGGGGAGGGAGGGGGAATGAGAGTAACAAGGGAGGGGGGGAGAAGAGAGTGACAAGGGAGGGGGGAGAGATTGACATCCATCACACACACACACACAATCACACACAATGCACCCCTTACACACAAAGACAATGAACCCCTTGCACACAGAAAAACACACAATGCATTACACACACACACACACGCAATGCAACCCTTACACACAATGCATCCCTTACACACACAGAAACACACAATGCATTCCTTACACACCTCAATGCACCCCTTAAACACACTCAAAGCACCCCTTACAGACTCACACACTTCATCCCTTACATACACAGAAACACACCTTGCAGCCCTTACACATACAAACACAGATTCACACAATGCATTCCTTACACACAAATCAGGACATCCCCTACACACTCCACCCCCTGTGAACAAACTCATTGGTGGAACATGAAGGTGGACCCTGGGACCCAGACCTTGAGCTGTGTAAAGGGCCCCCAAAAAATGGAGCTGCTTCCCGTTCTCCCAGAACATTGATTTTTGTGACCACAGTTACAAACCGCCTCCAGAGAGCCTGTTCTACACCAGACCAGTGGAGCCAGACTGCAGCTAGAGCCCATCATCATCCTCATCTTGTTGTAAGTAGGTAATCTAGTATATTATTCGTGGCACTAAGCTCTAATTTACCTCACATTAAAGAAACACTATAGTCCCCAGAACCACAGCAGCTTAATGTAGTGGTCCTGGTGTCTATAGTCTGTCCTTGCAGGCCTTTTAATGTAAACACGGCGGCACTGCAGCACTGGCGTTAGTTAACATGGCAGGTCATATGGGTGGGGCATTGTGATGTCACGGGGGGGAGGAGGGGGGGCGGCAAACTTTACTTTTGCCTAGGGCGGCAAAAATCCTGTGCACAGCCTTCCATAAACATTTCCTGTAAAGAGAGCCCTATTTAGGCTTTCTTTATTGCAAGTTCTGTTTAATTAAGATTTTCTTATCCCCTGCTATGTTAATAGCTTGCTAGACCCTGCAAGAGCCTCCTGTATGTGATTAAATTCAATTTAGAGATTGAGATACAATTATTTAAGGTAAATTACATCTGTTTGAAAGTGAAACCAGTTTTCTTTTCATGCAGGCTCTGTCAATCATAGTCAGGGGAGGTGTGGCTAGGGCTGCATAAACAGAAACAAAAGTGATTTAATTACTAAATGGCAGAAAATTGAGCAGTGACATTGCAGGGGCATGTTCTATACACCAAAACTGCTTTATTTAGCTAAAGTAATTTAGGGGACTATAGTGTTCCTTTAAAACTATGTCAGTAAGCAATAATTTGACAATAGACTAAGCTCTAGGAACTTTAACTGACAGCATGGGGTTGTTTAGCCAGAGTGAGAATCTAGGAGAAGTATGCCTGTTAAGGCATAGTAGATAAATGTTAGCTTAAACAAGAGTTTAATGTTAGTACACTCGTTTTATAGTTGGGTTCCAGGCTATACATGTATGTCTGATTATGTGAAGCTATGGATTCTGCATTCGGTATAGGTTAGCTATACATGTGGATGGTTAAGTAAAAACAGAGTTAGCTACATAAAACCTATTCTGGTAAGCAGGTAATTGCTAGGCAAGTAGGCAGGCGCTTTTACCTCCCCATAGCTGCGGCCATGTGCCACATGGAGGCTGCTACAAAGCATCATAGGTCTATGTATAAGAGACAAACCAATAAAAACAAAAAAAACTTGGTCATCCGTTGATGTGAAGCATTGTCCTTGTTGGGCTTTACGTTGGGGCTTTCAGCCTATGCCCAGTGTCGGGAAGTCCCGGCCGCCGCCTCTACAAGTGTCTCTCTTGGAAACTCTGGGCAAGGTGCCTCCGTATCTGGATCCAGCTTTGATGGCATCCTGAGGGGTACGCTGTCGCTCTTTCTCCCGATTTGCAGCGCTGGTGGCGGGAGGTCATGTTGTGCCGCGCCAGGCACTGAGAGGCTGGGTTGGTGAGAGCTTCGTAGGTGTCGCTTGTGAGGGGGTCTCGCTGTTGTGTAGCTGCGAGTGGGAACTTGCATCTGGGAAGCGTGGCTTCTTTACGCGCCTTGAGGGCGGCAGGAATCCGCGCTGGGGCGTGGGAACGTGAACTCCGGCTCCCAGGAGACAAGGCGCTGTTTCCATCCATGCTGTATTTCTGCTCCGATGAGTACACATTGTGTTGTGGATCTTGTCCGTGTCGCCATCTTAGGCGGACCTTGGCGAAGTCCGCTTTGCTTTAGGTATTGTCGCTTGTTCAGGCTGTATTGCAGGGGCATTCCTCCCCCGCAAGGACCGGGATATCCCCCGCCAGTCCAGGGGGAGGGGGGGGGTAGCAGAGCTGCCGTGGGTTCTCGTTTGGGCGCGTGGCACGTGTCGGGAGGTTGGCCACCTCCTCCGGACCTCAGGCCCCGCTCCATTTTAGGCCGCATGGCCGGCGCTGGTTTTTCCGCCACGTATCGTTCCGGGCCGGTATCATTTTGTGCCTCGTGTTCTGCTGAGTTGGTTCCCTCGGTACTTGCGTGAATTTGCTCTTTATTGCAGGAGCTCATGAGATGTGCAGCCGGCCATCTTGGCTGCCAGGCCCCACCCCCGTTTTTCGTTATATTTTATTATTTATACTTAGATCACTCATTTATTATTCTCAAGATTTTCTTTAATATTATTTTCATTACAATCCTTTTTTGGTAAAATATGTTTGGTAGGATTTTTTCCTATTATAGACATCAATTATATCTGCGATTAAAGGACCACTATAGTGCCAGGAAAACAAACCCCCTTTCTCCTGGCACTATAGTGCCCTGAGGGTGCCCCCACCCTCAGGGACCCCCTCCCACCGGGCTGGATGGCGAGGGTTAAATCTTACCTCTCCTCCTCCTCTCCGCCTCTTCGGCTGAATGCGCATGCGCGGCAGGAGCTGCGCGCGCATTCAGCCAGTCTCAGAGGAAAGCATTCATAATGCTTTCCTGTGGACGTTGGCGTCTTCTCACTGTGATTTTCACAGTGGGAAGCACGCAAGCGCCTCTAGCGGCTGTCAATGAGACAGCCACTAGAGGCTGGATTAACCCTAACATAAACATAGCAGTTTCTCTGAAACTGCTATGTTTATAAAAAGAATGGGTTAATCCTAGAGGGACCTGGCACCCAGACCACTTCATTAAGCTGAAGTGGTCTGGGTGCCTAGAGTGGTCCTTTAAGCATTTTAAATGAAATATTTTAAACAATTATATTAAAAGTGACGTTTTATTTGGGTTACTCCTTGCACAAAATGGTTTACTGTTGTGTTTCTTTTGTTTCACAGTAAATTCTACCTGGGGTCTACCATTACTTAGTACTTCGATGTTCTCAGCTTCCCACCTCTTTTCTGGTCATGCCTTCTCTTGGTCACGCCCTTATTAAACCTCCCTGTCATATGAACCCCCAACTATCATACATCTTGATTGAAATATTCTTTGTACTTACATATATGCCTGTTTGCACTTACAATTGTAATGGTTATTGGGAAGCAAGATGTTTAGGGGTCACTGTGAGGCGAAAGATGGGGAAACTGTATAGGTCCCATTGTGAGGAGCAGGATGGTGAAATTGAGCTTACTGTGAAGAGAAAGTTTGGGATGTGGGTAGGAGATAGTGTGAGGAGCAGGATGGTGCGGGTGGGTAGGAGTCACTGTGACAAGATAGTTGGGAAGGGTGGGTAGATGTCACCGTGGGGAGCAGCATAAAAAGGTTGTGTAGAGCTCACTGTGGGGAGCAAGATGAGGTGGGTGAGTAGGGGTCACTGTGACAAGAAAGTTGGGGATAGTGGGTAGGGGCCATTGTGAGGAGCAGGATAGAGAGGTTGGACTCACTGTGAGGAGAAAGTTGGGGATGTGTATATGACCCCTTTTGAGGAGCAAGAAGGGGCAGGTGGATAGTAAAAACTGATGAGAATGTTGTGGACGGTGAGATGACGTTAATGTGGGGAGCAGTATGGGGCAGGTGGGTAGGGGTCTCTGTGACGAGAAAGTTGGGGAGGGTGGGGCAGATGTGTAGGGGTGACTGTGACAAGAATGTTGTGGACGGCAGGTTGACGTTAATGTAGGGAGCGGCTTGGGGAGATTGGGTAGAGGTCACTGTGGGGAGCAGGATGGGGCAGGTGGGTAGGGACACTGACGAGAATGTTGTGGACAGTGGGTTGACGTTAATGTGGGTAGCAGCATGGAGAGATTGGGTAGAGGTCACTGTGGGGTGCAGGATGGGGCAGGTGGGTAGGGGTCACTGTGAGAAGAAAGTTGGGGACGTGTGTATGAGCCATTGTGAGGAGCAGGAAGGGGCGGGTGGATAGTAGACACTGACAAGAATGTTGTGGACGGTGGGTTGACGTTAATGTGGGGAGATTGGGTAGAGGTCACTGTGGGGAGCAGGATGGGGCAGGTGGGTAGGGGTCACTGTGACGAGAAAGTTGGAGAGGATGGGGCAGGTGGGGTCACTGTGACATGAATGTTGTGGACAGTGGGTTGACGTTAATGTGGGGAGATTGGGTAGAGGTCACTGTGGGGAGCAGGATGGGGCAGGTGGGTAGGGGTCACTGTGACGAGAAAGTTGTGGACGGTGGGTTGACGTTAATATATAAAGCGGCATGGGGATATTGGGTAGAGGTCACTGTGGGGAGCAGGATGGGGAAGTTGAGTAGAGATCACTGTTGGGAACAGGACGGGGTGGGCAGGGCCCACTGTGTGGAGCAGGATAAGATGGCTTAGGTAGGGGGTCACTTTAGGGAACAGGATGGGGAGTGAGGGAGAGTGGGTGGGAGCCACTGTGGGGTGCAGAATGGGAAGGGTTCCTAAATGTCATACTGGAGGGCCGGGGTGGACATGGGTCACTGTGGGGCTAACTAGGCAATAGATGGAGAGGACACTCTGGATAATAAGACTGAGGGTAGGTTTGGTAATAAAATGGTGGATGGGGTGGATTAGCTCCATAGTGAATGGGTGGAAATCACTGGGCACCACACAGCTCCCCCACCCACATTCTGTCCCTCCTAGAGTGCTACTCTCAACCACCAGGCAAACTAACTTCTGTCATTTTATGTGACATTGTCCGGACTTTATTTAATAAACGTGAAATTATGGAGAACTGACAAGCAGAGCTCAGTATGGGGAATTCTACGTCAGCTTTTAAATGTGCCATTTCCTCTTATTAATATTCCGGAATTGTCATTATTTTAGAACTCATTGGGTCACTAGAAGGAGCTTGTATAACCTTGGCGCCCTCTTGTGGTACATTTATGGAATAATATATAGTACATCTCTGTACTGAAAACGAAAGCTTTATGTTTGGAGTCTGTCGTTTTTTGACAGGTTATAAAAGTAGAAATTAGCACTTTTAAAAAACATTGCTGAAACACCTCCCCAGTTGAAAATCAGACAGCCGGGAACGGTTTCTTCGTCTTTAATTATCTCCACTCAATGAGAAGGATAGGAAAACCACAAACAGAAGCACAGACTGTGAAGAGTCTCCACCAATCAGGACCTTCTCATTCTGGGTCATTGTGTCTGAGCTTATCTCAGCAACCCAGGTGGGGCAGAGTTTTCTGGGATTTTTAATTCAAACCTCACAATTTTATTTATTTTACTATTTATATAGCGCCATCAGATTCCGTAGCGTGGTACAATGTACAATCCGTTTCATTCATCGGATCCAATGAATGGAATGGCTGAGTAAAAAAATGGCAGCCCTACTGTTGCTGCTATCAGCTTAATGACAGCCCCATTCACAAACCCGTGAGGGTTGTGTGCAGCTCTTTGTTGAGACGTTAACACATTTCTGCACCTTGAGCTCTTTCCGACAACTGGTCCTGGAGGAAGGGACTTGACGCATGCTCCAAGGGCTGTACTGATACTTGTACAGCCAAGGAAGAAATATAGATTCTTCCTGTGATGTAATAGGGTATTGGGGCAGGCCTGATGCTATATGGGCTATGCAAATTGCTGCAGTTATAAACAAAGGCACAGAGACAGGAGACCTACTTTCACCATCGTTTATGCAACATGTATGGCTTGCAGGGCCGGACTGGCCCACCGGGATACCGGGAAATATCCCGGTGGGCCATCGGCACATAGGGCCGGACAGGGAGCTGGCTGTTCCGGCGGCTGCAGGGGGGAGCTGGCTCCTGGCTGTTCCAGCAGCTGCGAGCTCCTTAATGAGACTGGGGCCGGAATATCCAGTCTCATTAAGCTGCGCGCTGGGGAGCAGAGCCAGCACAGCCAGCTCCCCCCTGCGGCCGCCGGAATAGCTAGCTCCCCCTGCGGACGCCGGAATTGCCAGCACCCCCTGCGGCCGCCGGCACACCTGACCCAGCTGTCTGCCCTACAAGACTCCTGTCCGGTCGCCCACAGGTAGCTATATTATGTGTCAGTCTGTCATTTTGTGTGTGTGTGTGTGTCTGTATCTGTCTGTGTCATGGCGTATGTGTCATTGTCTGTGTCACTGTCTGTATCATGGTGTATGTGTCTGTGTCATGGTGTGTGCCTGTCAAGGTGTGTGTGTGTACCTGTCATGGTGTGTGCCTGTAAAGGTGTGTGTCTGTCATCTGTTGTGGTATATGTGTGTGTCTGTCATGGTGTATGTGTGTGTCTGTGTTTGTTTAAAAATAGTGGTTTTACTTACCTTTTTTTTTCCCACGTCGTGCTGCGGGGCTGGCATAGATTTTTTTCCAGGGCTGCTTTGTATCCCCAGTCCGGCCCTGATGGCTTGTTAGAGTGCTTGGAGTTTCATTTTAATTCTGTCTGGCAACCAAAACTTGAAACAGAATATTATAATTGCAGAATACTTTGCTCAAACTTTGTACATAGCACCATCTAGTGACTGATGGTGGGAATTCCCTAAAACATCCAGTCACCCATTCGGGAGGATTTATTCTTAATATTTTAGGGCTATTTACTAAAGTGACAATTCAGAGTGAATTTCAAATTGATGGTAAAAAATATCTAACCTGATAAATTCCCTAAGCTATGCTTTCAGTTCGGTTACCGTGGGCTTAGATTTGAAATTCACCTTGAATAATCACATTATTAATTAACGATGATATTGTGTAGAGCAGCTCACAGCAGGCAAAACATGATTATATTATTTATCTATTTCCCTCAAGCTGAGAATTCTAATATTCGTGATCAGTTCTACTTATCAATCAGTTTGTCTCTTCCTTAAGCCTAAATCAGAAACAAAAATGAATTGAATCTACTTTAGCTGTGCATGGCTATCCCAGAAAGAATATCAATGGAAAGTTATAAAAACTAGATAACTTAACAATACATAACAAACATGAACGCAAAGCAAACAGCAATATAATGTGTACAATACATTTTTCATTTTATTTTGGAATGTACATTACAGGGACACTATAGGCACCAAATCAACTTTAGATTAATGAAGCAGTTTTGGTGTGTAGATCACACCTGCATTCTCACTGCTCAATTCTCTGCCATTTAGGAGTTAAATCAATTATGTTTCTGTTTATGCAGCCCTAGCCACACCTCTCCTGGCTGTGACTGACACAGCCTGCATGAAAAAAATGGTTTCGATTTCAATCAGATGTTAACTTGCTTTATACGTTTGTATTTCCTGCTCTGTAAATTGAACTTGAATCCCACACAGGAGGCTCCTACAGAAGAGAAGAAATTCTAAACGAAACAGAATGTGTAATAAAGGAAGTTTAAACATTAGATGACACTTTACAAGAAGTGTTTAGGAAGGCGGTGTAAGTCACATGCAGGGAGGTGTGCCTAAGGCTGTATAAACAAAATGATTTAATTCCTAAACGTCAAATTCAACTGTGGGACTGCAGGGGCATGATTTATAAACCAAAGCTGCTTCATGAAGCTAAAGTTGCTTTTGTGTCTGTAGTGTTCCTTTAAGAAATATAAAAAGTAGTAAATAAGGTCTTAAAAAATGTAACAAGTTTTTTGTTTTTAAAGAGAATTTGTTTTATTTTCAAACATTTATAACCCTAGCTACTCTCTAAGGCTGATATTTCCAAACAGCCACAACAATAAAACCACTGACAGGTGAATGAATAACATTGCAAAAAACAGAAGATAAGTCACCAATAGAGGTGTATGGGTAAGTTAGGAGCTTATATGGTGAACCTCACAACTAAAATAGATAAAGCATACACTTATACAAGGTAAAAGAAAAAGGGCAAGCTCCACACTTAGAGAAGATAAATACCACCTGATATCATATCTAGAGAAAACAAAAATGGTACATAGCGTTATACAGTACAGAAAGAGGGGCAAAACAGGGAGGGGGGAAGTGAGTACTCTTGTGAGAACTCACAAGAATTCGGTAAATTCAAGCTTGTCTCCCCAAAGAAGGGGTAAAATACGTCTGATGGTGCTTCAACTGTAGGTTATAAAAAGGAGGAGAGCCAATAGCGTAATAAAATTAAAACAACACTTTTAATGATTAAAAATGCACTTACAAGACGGCAATATGTTCAGTCATCTCTCCACCCAAAGTGGATCGGGAACAGAACACACTGCAAAGGGTTTGATGGAACAGGAACAAAAACCAGAAAGTGAACAATAATAATACAAAGAACCAAATAAAAGTCCCAACAAACATCCAAGGCGTTCCTCAGGGATCTGGGACACTGTAACCACTTCTCACTTTATATATGCCTCCTGATTTCAGACCTTCGATCAGCTGGCACTAAAGTGCGTTCCACCGTGAAACGCAATTCGCTTCCTGTAGACTGATGTCATTTCCGGCTTTCGGCTGTATCCATCTGACGTACGGAATGAAACTTGCACATGCTATTAGACTAGGAACAGTTGGTTCATTTAACCAGGATCCTGAGCTCTGGCAACTAATATGTATCTGTGTGATACATTTATCTAACAAGCATCTATCTAAGCGCCAAGTGGCTCTCGGTGATCCTGGTAGATAGTTAAATCTAAGTATTCATTATTAGACCAGGAATGATTAGTTTATTTAACCAGGATTCTGAGCTTTGGCAACATTTCACTCATTTATGCCACTAATTATTATTATGAGAGGGGGGATGTAACTATAAATAGGACAATTACAAGAAAACTTGCAGAAACGATAGGTTGAAAAGGACCCTGCTCAAACGAGCTTACAGTCTATAAGAGGTGGGGTATAAGACACATTAGGACAGGAAATATCAATCAAATAAGGTGGGAGTGAATCAGAGCTGCCCTATAGGAGAGAGCAAGAGACAGGTGTGTAAGGTAGAGGTTAAGCTTCCCTAAAGAGATGAGTTTTAAGGCACTTCTTAAAGGATTGAAGACTGGGGGAGAGTCTGATGGGGGTAGGCAGGCTATTCCCTTGGAAGGGAGCCGCCCGTGAGGTGTCCTGCAAGCGCGAGTTGGCTATACGGGTGCAAGCAGCGGTCAGGAGGTGGTCACGGACAGAGCGGAGGGAACGAGGAGGGGCATACCTATGGATCTGTGAAGAGCTATAAAAGAGGGGCTAGAATTGTTCAGTGCTTTATAAGTACGGGTTAGCACTTTGAATTGACTCCTATAGGATACAGGAAGCCAATGTAAGGACTGACAGAGGGGTGAGATGTGAGAGGACCGACTAGAGAGGAAAATCAGTCTGGCGGCAGCATTCATTACAGACTGTAGCGGGGCAATACGGCTTTTGGGAAGACCAATTAGGAGAGGGTTACAATAATCCATGCGGGATAATACTAGAGCATGGACAAGCTCCTTGAAAGCATCTTGCGTAAGAAAGGGGCGGATGCGGGCTATGTTTTTAAGTTGGAATCTACAGCATATGGCAACAAACGGAATGTGAGGCTCAAAGCTGAGGCCAGAGTCAAGTATGAAGCCAAGACAGCGTGCTTGCAAGGATGGACTTATGTGGATATCACTGACTTGAAGGGAGATTGAGAGAGGAGGATCAGTATTAGGAGAAGGAAAGACAAGTTCAGTTTTAGCGAGATTGAGTTTCAGAAAGCGGGAGGACATGGAAGAAAGGCAAGCAGTGACACGTTGCCGGACGGCAGGGGAGAGGTCTTGGGAGGGGAGATATATTTGGGTGTCATCAGCGTACAGGTGGTAGTGGAATCCAAAAGAGGCAATAAGTTTGCCAAGAGAGGCAGTATAAAGAGAAAATAGAAGGGGACCAAGGACAGAGCCTTGGGGAACTCCAACCGAGACAGGATGAGGGTAGGAGGTATCCTTGGAAAAGGAGACACTGAATGAACATTGGGAGAGATAAGAGGAAAACCACAAAAGGACAGAGTCACAGAGACCAAGTGACTGAAGAGTTTGAAGGAGGAGAGCATGATCAACGGTGTCAAAGGCAGCAGAGATCTGTGCGATACATTTATCTAACAAGCGTTGATCTGTGCGCCAGCAATTTACAAGGGGCTTTTGGTGATCCTGGTAGATAGCTAAGTCTAAAATTCTATTATTAGACTAGGAACAGTTGGTTCATTTTAAATTTTTTTAAATAAATCTTTAATTTTGCAGTGCATAAAGATATCACAAGCAGGCATGAGGTGCCCCAAAAGCAGTCCTCTGGCAAATTCCTCGCTAAACATGCGGGACAAGAGATTAACAGGCACATTTTTATATTATATGCAGTTTAGGTTCGATTTTTAAGAGTAGGTTTGCATGGTAATAAAGCTTGGTCAGTGTTTAAGCTAGTCTATGGTCAACACAGATTATGCATATATACAACGTTAGCTATATAGACAGGCTAGTACAGTTTAATTATGAGTGGTATTCAGGCTAGATTTAGATAAGTCGCTTTAATACTATTATCACCCAGGCCGACCGGGACCACCGGAACTGCCTCTGCGGGGAGCCGTCGTCATGGCGGTCCTGAGACCTCACACACAGGGGGAGTGCCACTACTATCTGATACCTGCTCTGTCCGTTTTGTGTAGCAGGGGGCGAGTGTATGCCAGAGCAGGCATCAGAACACAGTCCAGCCGTGCCGCATCGTAAGTTTCTCGCTGGTGTCTCTGGGGCTGCAGCTGCGTTCCAGTGTGCTTGTCCCTCTTGGTCCACTGAGGGTCGGAGTCAGCCATGGTGGGGAGCTCGGTGTCGTTTGCATGTGGTCGTCGGTTTGTGGGTCGTTTTGTTACACGCTGGGTGGGAGGTGAGTAAGAGTTCTGTCTCCGCACAGTGTTGTCCCGCTTGTCGACAGGCTCGGTCTGTTCAGGCGGGAAAGGTTGGTGCGCTGGGTAGTCCCAACCCCCTGTGCAGCCGTCGTTGTTGCTGGTTTAGATGGCTGCGGGGGTAGGTAGCAGTTATCACGCTTCCCGGTATAGCAGGGTCTGGAGTTAGGGACCGCAGTGTAATCCGTGGGCTCAGAGAGGGTGCCGGTCCTCCCTTCGTCTCCTGCGCACATGGTGCCCGCCATCTTGGACGTAGCGGTCGGACCCCCGGCTTTGGCCGCGTTATCGGGGGGGAGGGGGAGGGGGAGCTAGGTCCACCTGGATTAGAGCCCCATGCTGGGTTCTGTGTTGCAGGATAGTGGGGCAGCGGCCGTCCGCCCCACTCACCGCCGGAGAAGGCCTCAGTTGTGGTAATGAAAGTTTCTCCTCTTGGGGACTGAAGCTCGATGAGCCAGCCTCTCCCTGGTTCCAGCAGTCCCTTATTGCTAAATTATAGGCAATTAGCAAGACACCCCCAATAAAGGAGTGGTTCTGCAGGTGGTGACCACAGACCACTTCTCCGTTCCTATGCTTCCTGGCTGATGTTTTGGTCACTTTTGAATGCTGGCGGTGCTTTCACTCTAGTGGTAGCATGAGACGGAGTCTACAACCCACACAAGTGGCTCAGGTAGTGCAGCTCATCCAGGATGGCACATCAATGCAATCAAGACACAGCAAGAAGGTTTGCTGTGTCTGTCAGCATAGTGTCCAGAGCATGGAGGCGCTACCAGGAGACAGGCCAGTACATCAGGAGACGTGGAGGAAGCCGTAGGAGGGCAACAACCCAGCAGCAGGACCGCTATCTCTGCCTTTGTGCAAGGAGCAACAGGAGGAGCACTGCCAGAGACCTGCAAAATGACCTCCAGCAGGCCACAAATGTGCATGTGTCTGCTCAAACGGTCAGGAACAGACTCCATGAGGGCCCGACGTCCACAGGTGGGGGACGTTCTGCTGCCTGCAACATCCTCCAGCATGACCGGTTTGGCAGTGGGTCAGTAATGGTGTGGGGTTGCATTTCTTTGGGGGGTCGCACTGCCTCCATGTGCTCGCCAGAGGTAGCCTGACTGCCATTAGGTACCAAGATGAGATCCTCCGATCCCTTGTGAGACCATATGCTGATGCGGTTGGCCCTGGGTTCCTCCTAATGCAAGACAATGCTAGACCTCATGTGGCTGGAGTGTGTCAGTAGTTCCTGCAAGACGAAGGCATTGATGCTATGGACTGGCTTGTCCGTTCCTCAGACCTGAATCCAATTGAGCACATCTGGGACATCATGTCTCGCTCCATCCACCAACTTCACATTGCACCACAGACTGTCCAGGAGTTGGCAGATGCTTTGGTCCAGGTCTGGGAGGAGATTCCATCCGTCACCTCATCATGAGCATGCACAGGCATTGTAGGGAGGTCATACAGGCCCTTGGAGGCCACACACACTACTGAGCCTCATTTTGACTTGTTTTAAGGACATTACATCAAAGTTGGATCAGCCTGTAGTGTGTTTTTCCACTTTAATTTTGAGTGTGACTCCAAATCCAGACCTCCATGGGTTGAAAAATTTGATTTCCATTTTTTAATTTTTAGGTGATTTTCTTGTCAGCACATTCATCTATGTAAAGTATTTCAGAATAATATTTAATTCATTCAGATCTAGGATGTGTATTTTTTGTGTTCCATTTATTATTTTGAGCAGTGTATTTTTAGTGTAAAATAATAAAATGTAGTCCATGTTTAGTATAATATAATGTAATATAATATATGTTCAGTATAATATAATATATGTTGAGTATAATATAATATGTTAAGTATAATATATGTTCTGTATTAGGCCCAGCCCCCCCTCTCTCTCTCACACACACTAGACTAGACCCAATACACTCACTCTCTCAATTTCTCCCTTACTCTCTCCCTCCTCACACTCACTCTCTCCCACATACTCTCCCTCTCACACACACACACTCTCTCTCTCACACACTCTCTCACTCTCTCTCACACACACACACACACTCTCACTCTCTCTTTCTCTCTCACACACACACACACTCTCTCTCTCAGTCTCTCCCCCCTGTCTCTCTCTCTCTCTCATTCACTCTCTCCCCTGTCTCTCTCTCACACACTCTCTCTCTCATTCACTCTCTCTCTCACACTCTCTCAGTCTCTCTCCCCCTGTCTCTCTCTCTCTGTCTCTCACTCACTTTCTCTCACACTCTCTCTCCCCCGTCTCTCTCTCTCAGTCTCTCTCACACACTCTCTCTTTCTCTCACACACACACTCTCTCTCAGTCTCTCCCCCCTGTCTCTCTCTCTCATTCACTCTCTCCCCTGTCTCTCTCTCTCACACACTCTCTCACACACTCTCTCTGTCTCTCTCTCTCATTCACTCTCTCTCTCACACTCTCTCAGTCTCTCTCTCTCTGTCTCTCACTCACTTTCTCTCACACTCTCTCTCCCCCGTCTCTCACACTCTCTCAGTCTCTCTCCCCCTGTCTCTCTCTCTCTGTCTGTCACTCACTTTCTCTCACACTCTCTCCCCCTGTCTCTCTCTCTCTCCCCCATCTCACTCTCTCACACACTCTCTCCCCCTGTCTCTCTCTCACTCACTCTCTCTCCCCCCTGTCTCTCTCTCACTCACTCTCTCTCCCCCCTGTCTCTCTCTTTCTCTTTCTCTCACTCTCTCTCACACTCACTCTCTCACACACACACACACACACTCTCTCTCTCAGTCTCTCCCCCTGTCTCTCTCTCTCACACTCTCTCTCAGTCTCTCTCTCTCAGTCTCTCACACTCTCTCTCTCTCCCACAGTCTCTCTCTCTCTCACACACACTCTCTCACTCTCAGTCTCTCTCCCCTGTCTCTCTCTCTCAGTCTCTCTCCCCTGTCTCTCTCTCTGTCTCTCTCTCACACACTCTCTCTCAGTCTCTCTCTCTCAGTCTCTCACACTCTCTCTCTCTCCCACAGTCTCTCTCTCTCTCACACACACTCTCTCACTCTCAGTCTCTCTCCCCTGTCTCTCTCTCTCAGTCTCTCTCCCCTGTCTCTCTCTCACACACTCTCTCTCAGTCTCCCTCTCTCTCTCTCTCTCTCACTCTCTCAGTTTCTCTCACACTCTCTGTCTCTCTCACTCAGTCTCTCTCTCTCAGTCTCTCTCTCTCACACTCTCTCAGTCTCTCTCTCTCAGTCTCTCTCTCTCACACTCTCTCAGTCTCTCTCTCTCTCTCTCTCAGTCTCTCCCCCTCCCTCCCCCCGGCTGTTGTGTTACCGGTTCCCGCACTGGGCCCGCGGTGATTGTCGGACTCGGTGGTTTATTTTGGGTTCTGAGCTGGCTGCCAGTTTCCAAGATGGCCGCCGCGCAGTGGGTTCCTGGCCGCTCTATCCGCCCGCCCCCCGCAGTCTCTATGGTTCTCCCCCAGTGACAGCCGGGAGAGGTTCCCGCCTTCTCTGACGTCACCGAGAGGCCGGCTCCGGAGCTCAGCGAACGCAAGATGGCGGCCACCACGGGCTCGGGTGAGCTGGGAGCCGGGGGGAGAGCGGGGGGGGAGCCCATGGTGACCGCAGGCCGAGTGTGGGGGCCGGGGGCCGAGTCAGGGGCCACAAACCGAGCGGAGCCTGAGAGTCCGGCCTTCCCACCACCCTCAGCCAGCAACCTGCCCTGTCACTCCCACCACCCTCAGCCAGCAACCTGCCCTGTCACTCCCACCACCCTCAGCCAGCAACCTGCCCTGTCACTCCCACCACCCTCAGCCAGCAACCTGCCCTGTCACTCCCACCACCCTCAGCCAGCAACCTGCCCTGTCACACTCACACCACCCTCAGCCAGCAGCAACCTGCCCTGTCACTCCCACCACCCTCAGCCAGCAACCTGCCCTGTCACTCCCACCACCCTCAGCCAGCAACCTGCCCTGTCACTCCCACCACCCTCAGCCAGCAACCTGCCCTGTCACTCCCACCACCCTCAGCCAGCAACCTGCCCTGTCACTCCACCACCCTCAGCCAGCAACCTGCCCTGTCACTCCCACCACCCTCAGCCAGCAACCTGCCATGTCACTCCCACCACCCTCAGCCAGCAACCTGCCCTGTCACTCCCACCACCCTCAGCCAGCAACCTGCCCTGTCACTCCCACCACCCTCAGCCAGCAACCTGCCCTGTCACTCCCACCACCCTCAGCCAGCAATCTGCCCTGTCACTCCCACTCCCATCATCCCAGACACCACCCTCAGCCAGCATTCTACCCTGTCAGTCCCATCATCCCATACACCACTCTCAGCCAGCAATCTGCCCTGTCAGGGCCCGAGACTACCATCACCTCACACTCCCATCATCCCAGACACCACCCTCAGCCAGCAATCTGCCCTGTGAGGCTTCCTGACTTCAATCACACCCATCAATCCCTAGCACTCTGAATCCCATCATCCCAGACTCCACAGTCGGCCAGCAATCTATCCTGTCAGGGGCCAGAGACTCCCATCATCCTAGGTCCCTCACTGTAATCACCCATGGTTCACACATCGGCCAGCAATCTGTCTTGTCTAGGGGCCTGAGATTCCCACCACCCCTCTCCCATCATCCCAGACCCCCATCAATCTCTGGTCCCATGACTCCTCTCATCCCTCACTCCCATCATCCCAGACACCACCCTCAGCCAGAAATCTGCCTTGTGAGAGTCCTAGACTCCCATCATCCCAGGACCCTTGACTCCTATCATCCCTCACTTCAATCAATCACAGGTCTTCAGATAGTGGTCCCTGTGGGCTCCCTCTCCTGCCTGCTATTTAGTAGAGTTGCCACCATGTTTTTATAGACTTGTCAATTATATGTATTGATGGGCAGCACAGCAAAATGTTTACTCTGCCAGAGTGAAATTAAAATATCAGTCATTATAGATGTATAGACCAATGAGATTTGAAGGAAATGCACTAATTCAATTGAGCAATTATTGGGTGAACCAGACCAGTACAATCCCCACCAGGTTGAATCCAAAGCAGAAAAAAAGGCCCAGGCACTCCAAAGCTCAGAAAGGCAAATTTATTCAAAGTTTTTCAGCAACATTTCGAAACCTCAGTGGACCTTGCTGGGGTCAAAATGTTGCTGAAAAACTTGATAAATTTGCCTTGCTGAGTTTCGGAGTGCCTGGACCGGTCTTCACTGTTGAATACATTGTTAAAGGGACACTATAGTCACCTGAACAACTTTAGCTTAATGAAGCAGTTTTGGTGTATAGAACATGCCCCTGCAGCCTCACTGCTCAATCCTCTGCCATTTAGGAGTTAAATCCCTTTGTTTATGAACCCTAGTCACACCTCCCTGCATGTGACTTGCACAGCCTTCCATAAACACTTCCTGTAAAGAGAGCCCTATTTAGGCTTTCTTTATTGCAAGTTCTGTTTAATTAAGATTTTCTTATCCCCTGCTATGTTAATAGCTTGCTAGACCCTGCAAGAGCCTCCTGTATGTGATTAAAGTTCAATTTAGAGATTGAGATACAATTATTTAAGGTAAATTACATCTGTTTGAAAGTGAAACCAGTTTTTTTTTCATGCAGGCTCTGTCAATCATAGCCAGGGGAGGTGTGGCTAGGGCTGCATAAACAGAAACAAAGTGATTTAACTCCTAAATGACAGTGAATTGAGCAGTGAAATTGCAGGGGAATGATCTATACACTAAAACTGCTTTATTTAGCTAAAGTAATTTAGGTGACTATAGTGTTCCTTTAAGAGGTTCCAGCAGGGCAAAACGGGCTACCTATAAACATAACTGTGCAACAATACTGCTTGTATTTTAGGTTTCCCGTTCACATAAGAGAATCCAGTATTTTAAATTCATTAAAGGGACACTATAATCACCCAGACCACTTAAAGCTCAATAAAGTGGTATGGGTGCCAGGTCCCCCAGGTTTCAACCCTTCAGATGTAAACATAGTGGTTTCAGAGAAACTATGTTTATATCGCAGGGTTAATCCATCCTCTAGTGGCTGTCTTCCTGACAGCCGCTAGAGGCGAATCTGCGACGCTGGGTGTGGACTTTTTCAATGCGCGCGCATGCGCATTCCGCTTCACTCGGGAGTTGACGTCGACAGGGGAGGAGAGGTCACCGGTGCTTGATATGGGTAAGTAACTGAAGGGGTTTTATCCTCTTCAGCGTGAAGGGAGGGGGACCCTGAGGATGGGGTCCTAAGGTAATATAGTGTCAGGAAAACGAGTTTGTTTTCCTGACACTATAGTAATCCTTTAAGACAATACATCCCTAATTAAATGCACAATCGTGCTGCTAATCTATAAAAGGGATGATACATTTTACATTTCCTGCTTGGAGAATGATTGCTCTGTAGTTTCGTGCCTAGAGGTGTGTTTAAATGGATTCTATAATGTTAGGAGTGTTTATTTGTATTTCTTACACTATAGTTCCTTCTGGCTCCCATCTCATTCGCACTCCCCCCTCCCAGCATGTAAAGAGTTGGGATACTATAGTGCTTGGAATAAAAAATTGTATTCCTAGCATTACAGCTGCCTGGCGGCCCCCCACTGCAATGCTTTCCTATGGGGAATTGATGGTGAATGGATGCCCTTGTTCAGAGTGTGAGGACGTCAGGCGACCAAAAGTTGACTAGGAAGCAGGAAGTGCCTCTAATAGCTGCCTGATTGACAGCCTCTTGAGGCAGTCTTAGTCCTACAATGTCATCATTGCAGTTTCTCTAAAACTGCAATGATTTACATTGCAGGACTAAGGGGGATGGGGCTGAGTGATCCTATAGTGCCAGGAAAACAAACCCGTTTTCCTGGCACTACAGGTTTAATAGGTCCTCCCCCTTCAGCCACTTACCTGAATCCAGTGCCGATGTCTCTCGGTGCTGGGTCAGGCTCCTCCCCCACCGATGTCAGCCGGCGGGGAACCTAATGCACATGTACAGTAATGGGAGCGCGCGTGCATTAGACCTCCACATAGGAAAGCATTATTCAATAACGGACCAAAAGTCTGTTTGGATTCCGGAGGCCCTCTAGTGGCTGTCTGTTAGACAGACACTGTGGAAAGACTTAGAGCTGCAATGCAAACATTACAGTATCTCTGGAACGGCAATGTTTTACATGGCAGCACTAAGTGCAAAAGGGTAACAGCACCCAGACTACTTCAATGAGCTGAAGTGGCCTAGGTGCCTACAGTGTCCCTTTCCCTTCAATCTAAGCATTGCAATTTTCACAAAACGGAGAAGTGGTCTTTTAAGTAAATTGTATTCAGTCTCACATAGCTACAGTAAGGAGTAACTCATTAAACTGTGCACTGGGCGATAGAGTGAATGCTAAATTACAAAACAGATAAAAATCAAGAAAAATTTATCCAATGGAGTTATTAGTAAATCATCATGGTCTATGTATGAAAGGGTTAAAAATGAAGTACGTGACTACTGTAAATGGACAAGACTATATTATTAGAAATAACAATTGTTAAATGTCGGCTTAAATGTAAAACCTGTTGCAGATCATCAAAGATATAACCCTTTAACCTCTGGTTACAGAAATACATGTTGTTGGTTGCTGAATAAGCAATATCGTATTTAGCTGGTGTAAACTTGTCGTGTTACTTTTGCTGTAACTTCTGTCTATAAATATGTTTGCCTGACTCTTAATACACTGGTAGTAGCCTGCATTGAAACACGTTGTCTGTGTATCACTGAAAGGCTCTCCCCGAACGTTCATTCCAAAAGTGAGGTGCATGGAACGCTTTGCCCAGCAGTGTAAAATGATCCCTACAATTTGGTGGCAGTGGTGGGATTCGAACCCACGCCTCCAGTGTATTAACCGTTACACCATACACAGATTTTATAGCGAGCAGAGTTGTCAAGTGTTTTAACAGTATTTCGTTTATCTATTAAAATACTTTAGAACAGTAACAGAGATTATTGGAATTAAAGTGTTACGTCATAGAACGCGGTTCTTCTTGAATAAATGATCATTAGGGCCAGGTAACCGTGGCTGCTGCAGAAGTTGTACTTCTCAATCATTTAGAAAATCCACCCCAGCTTCTAAATATTATTGCGACTCTGTCACCCCAAGCTTACCTTTCTTCCATTGTTTTTACTTTTCTTCCTCTTTCACAATCTGTTCTTTTCTTTATTTCTGACCTGATTTAGGGACTATTTTGCCTTGTGTATTCTTTCTACACTTGGCAATTTTGACAAATGGAGCTTAAAGCAAGCTTTGCCCTTTGTTGGCTTGACAGAGGAAGTGGAGCCGTAAAGGGACACTCCACTGGCCAAACACAAAATAAATAACTGCTTAGTTGATATACTATAAATGAAAACTTACATGCATTTTATTATTGCGGGTATGTCTAAAAACAACTTGCACACAGTGTAGATCTCTTGTCTGCAGCTTTTGCAAGCCCTCCCCTTCTAACCCCGCTCAGACTTTCTGTGGCTGTCCAATCACAAACTCCCCAATGCAGCTCAATGAGAAGTCTTTGCAAGGCAGGTGCTCTGGGCAATTGCTGCCTTTTGAGTTTCTCCACTGAGCTAACCAAACCAGGAAGTAACAGGACCGGTTGTATGATTGACAGTTAGGAGAGGTGCAACTAGGTTCATTTATAAATGTGACAATTCTATTGAGATCCGCACTGTTTGCAAAATGAATAAAGAGGGGTCTGGAGGGATCCTTTAAGCCCCACCCTTTAGTCACATTTCTCAGGCGTAGGTATATTTAGTTCCTCTGTCCCCCAGTCTGTGCAGTGAAAAGGTGAGTTTACTCTGGTTTTGCTGCGGCCGGTTCCACTCCATGACTCCATCAATCTTGATAATCTCAGCCATTTCCCATAGGAAATCATTGGAAGGCTTGTGTGCGTGTGTGGGAAAACTCTGCGCTGCACCAATCAACATCTCATCATAGAGATGCATTGAATCAATACATATCTATGGGGAACATTAAGCTTCTCCATGCAGAGTGTGGAGACACTGAACGCCAGTGTTACACACTGTGCAGCACTGACACGGAATTACTCTAGTGACAGCAACTTGAAGTGTAACTAGCCAGCAATGTAAACACTACCTTTTCTCTAAAAAAAAAAATGTATTGCTTATAGTTCTACGGCTGTAGGACATACTTTAGACACCAGAAGCACTATATTAAACTGTAGTGGTTCTGGGTCTTTTTAATATTAAAAATATACACACACAAAATTGTGTGTGTGTATTTATGTCAGATTTTTACATAATTTTTTTTTAAATTAAATTATATTTTGTGGGACCTACCTGACAATCCAGGGACAAAGTTCAGAGAATTAACTGATCAAAATAATATGTGCTGGTACACTTAATATGAAAGAGGTAAATTGTGGTTGAACAGACACATTGCTCAAATTACTGATATTATTTTGGTTCAGAACTTTTACAATTGTCTCCATCCTTAAAGGGATACTATAGGGCCCCAGACATTTCATTGAAGTGGTCAGGGTGCTGTGTCCCTGTTCCCTTTAGCCTGCAATGTAAAACGGTTTATATTGCAGCACAAAGACTTCCTCTAGAGGCCCTTCCTAGCGTTTGACTCCTCACGCGCTAGATGAGGACATTAGCGTCAAAGAATACCCCACAGGAAAGCATTGAGAAGGCCTAATGCGTGTGTGGCTGGTGTCGGAGGAGGTTGGCTGGTGTCGGAGGAGGTTGTGTTATTTAACCCTTTACATTGATTGGCAGATGAAAATTTTTGTGTTAGTAAAATGTCTTTTTATTCCTAACACTACAGTGTTCCTTTAAGTGGTTAGGTTAATATGCTGTTTTTCATTGTTGTTGTATTTGGTGTTTTTGTTTGCACGTTTAAATCTTTATAGTTTTTGCCCAAACAATAAATGTCTTGGAGAATGCTACACTATAAACCTGCCTCCTTGGCCACAACCCCTCGTGCCAGAAAGACTTTATCATCAAAGGTATGTCCACAATAGGTCCACGTTCATTTTCATTTAGGGCCCCCACCCGCCACTCAAGGGGGGGAGGACAATAGGTCCACGTTCATTTTCATTTAGGGCCCCCGCCCGCTGCTCATGTGTGGGGGCCGGGGAGAGGACAATAAGTTCACCACCCCCACCCGCCGCTCATCGGTGGGGGCCGGGGGGAGGACAATAGGTCCACCCCTTATTGTAATTTAGGGCCCCCATCCGCCGCTCATGCAGGTCGTCGTCGTTGTCCCCTCCCCCGAATTTTCATTCATGGTGGGGGTAGGGAGGGGGAAGTTAGGTCCCCCCTTCAGTTAAATAGCCCCCACTCACGCGGCAAGGGTGGGGGGACACTAAGGTTTTTAGTGAGAGTGAGTGAGGGAGGACATGGGGGCTTAGGAGGTGGCGGGGAGCACTGCTTTCTGACCAATAGATGAAATTCCTGTTCGCATGCCCAGGTGTTTAACTGGCCATGTGTGGGAATCTCACAGCACCATCTAGTGTTGGCAGATGACCTTAAAAGAAGTGAGGGGGAGACAATAAAACTAAATACATGTAAATAAAAATACTTACCATTTGATGTCTTCATTTTTCACCCCCAAAAAAGGCCAAATATATATCCATAATACCCGTCATACCTTTCAAATAAAATAAAAAACCAGAGCGCCCCAAAAAATCAGACGGAAAAAGAAATCCTGAAGCTGAAAAAGTAATCCATTTTCACTCAGCGAGGGCATGGTGCAGACTTAGCTCCGCAGGGCAGGGAAAGGCCTCTAAAGCCTTCCCACGACCTGCAATTTGACTTATAGCACTCTGATTGGTTGATTTAAGCCAACCAATCAGAGTGCTCTGACAGGTAAGTCTCTACATTTACCTGTCACAGCACTCTGGTTGGTTGGCATGAAATCCAACTAATCATAGTGCTCTGAGTAATTTTACAAAGCGTGGGAAAGTTCTTTGGATATTCGGTGTGTGTGTTTGTCTAACATTTCTATTCATTCCTTCGTCTTTCAGACGATTGAATTGATGAAATTCCCGTAGCGAATGCCCAAGTGTTTAACAAAAAATTTCACAGCGCTATCTAGGGTGGGCAGATGACGTGTCCCACAGGGACTTCATCTACCCACACAAAGATGGCGGTGCCCAGGACTTAGGTCTTAGGTAATATGGGGGCTTAGGGGAATTTGGGCGTGTCTAGGGAGACAATTAGATGTAGTGGAGTCGGGAGGGGGGTTAAAATAAAATGGGATTCGGCCATGACAATGCAGCTTTAATACAGCCCTAGCCATGCCTCTAGGATGTGTAAACAAAGTGATATAAACCCCAAATGGCAGAGAGTTGAGCAGTGAGACTATAGACCAAAACTGTTTCATTAAAGGGACACTATGGAAACCAAAACAACCTTATCTTAATGAAGCAGTTTTAGTGTACACACATTCCTATGAAGTTTCACTGCTCAATTCATTGCCATTTAGAAGTGAAATCACTTTTGTTTCTGTTTATGTAGCCCTGGCCACACCTCTCCTGGCTGTGACTGACACAGCCTGCATGAAATAAAAATGTTTTAATTTTCAATCAGATGTTACTTAATGTAAACTTTTTTTATCTCCTGCTCTGTGCATTTTTTGTAATTACACACAGGAGACTCCTGCAAGGTCTAGCAAGTTATAAACAGAGCAGGAGGTAAGAAATTATAAATTAAATAGAATTTGCAATAAAGGAAGTTCAAACATTAGATAACTCTTTACAGGAAGTGTTTAGGAAGGCTGTGTAAGTCACATGCAGGGAGGTGTGACTAGAGCTGTATAAACAAAGTGATTTAACTCCTAAATGGAAGGGAATTGAGCAGTGAGACTGCAGGGTCATGGTCTATACAGTGAAACTGCTTCATTAAGCCGGAGTTGTTTTGGTGACTGTAGTGTTCCTTTAAAGAACACTTTGATTAAACTGACACAATCTTGAATCTTTATTTAGGACAGTGAGAATGCTTGTGAAACTGTTTAGGTCACTCTACGTGTCAGAGTTTTGTAAGAACTGTAGTATTTTCTTAAAATATTTAAATATTTGTTGTGTGGCTTGCTTTGCGGTCTTTAAATGTAAATTCAGACCAAGAGTTCCAAGCTTAGAGCAATGTTTCTCCGAGCACATCTCTTTGGAATTCCAGATTTCCTGTCTCTCCTCTGATAATCTCGATTGGTTCGTCTGCAAAGTTGAATTTAGATGTTGTTACTGTGTATAAAAAATTGCACATAAAACAGAACCTTAGATTTTCTTAGTCAAGGAGTTGCCAGCACTGTAGGCATATCCTTATATGGATCATGGATTCCAGAAAATAAACATTTTTTGTTTTTAGAGTATATTTTCCCTATTATCGCTACTTAAAATGAAAGTTTATTGCAGATTATTTACCTTGTATCCTCTGCAACTGCCTGCAACACCTTCATATAAATAGATGTTGGCATGCCTGCTGGTGTATTCTGCAAACTCTCTCAAAATCAGATGCTTCTTTTATAGAATCAGTGGATTGGATCAACACATGCACAGCCATCCAATCACATGCTATGAGCAGCATTTAATTTCAGGACCAAGTTTGACTCGTTTCTGGAGGAGGAAGCGCCTCTAGTGGCTCTCGGGAAGATGGCCACTAGAGGTGTATTTTTAACACTACAATGTAAACAACTAAAATTTGTTTAAATGACACGACTACTGCACTCAGACTTCATTGTGATGAAGTGGTCCAAGGTTACCTTTAGTTGTCCTTAAAGCCATTTTTGTAGCTGGAGAGCTGTGTGTACAATGCTGCCAGGATGCCCTCAACGGACAGTGGTATGATCGCCGACTGTCTAAAATCAGGCGCTTTTGGCTACTCACCCACTTCACTGACCATGTGTTACTGCAAGGTTGCAGCACTCAGATTAATGCCAACTCTGCAGACAATTCTCTTATTCTATGTACTTTCCATCCAGAAATATAGATATGTACAAATGCAAGGTAACAGCAATGAAATCCTGGCCTTTACTATCCTGTTGCTGTTTTATACAGCTGATCTCACCGCTCAGTGGATCCCGTTATTTTGTTGCCTTATTACCGTATCCCCTGGTAGAACACCAAACTATCACGCTGGCTCCTAGACCTTTCCCATGCTTGTGCAGTGCCGGCTGATTTATTCAAAATATGTTGTTTGCATGATAGCTGGAGGTGAGACGCGCTGCTGACCCAGGCTGAATCTGTCCTCGGGCACTAGGTGGAACCTGTGTGACTACGTGGGATAAAATGTCTCCTCGCTGCTGCCTTTTGATTTGCAGACAGGTGAGCAATGCTTTACTCACCTTGCTACACAAAGGATCAGTGTGTACTGAACCTGTCTAACCCATTCCAATCAAATGACCTGCCTCTGAGTTTACAACCTGCACCATCGTCGTTCAGTTATTTTTTTACAAACGCCATGAACTTTGTAAAGTGTGTGTAACTATATATACACACACGTACGTCTAGCACTCCAACTTACTGGTGTTAATGCCCGGTGCTTGTCAGCATTCACAGATTCCATGTAGTGTAGATGGCACTCCAAGGACTTCCAAGTGATAGAGTAAAACTTAACCTTTATTGCTGAATACAAAAAGATTAACGTTTCAGTTTGTAATCCAAACTTTCATCAGGATATATATAAACCTTTGTATCAGTAGGAAGTTATGCTCTCTCTATCGTTTTCATTTCTAGTTCTCCTAATCTTGCTTATCGCACAATGATAACTTTCACTCCTGTCCCAAGGAAATGTCTGACCATATAGAAACCTGGTCACGTGATCAATTTCTGCATTTACCTGGTGCCCATCCTTATACATTCTACACTCATTGGATTAGCACTCAGTCTCTGTGAGCTGCTGCCCATTTATTATCCACTTTGCTTCCTGGCTTCTGTAGATATTATGTGTTTAAATACCACTGTGCCACGTTTTGCAGCAGTTTCTGTATAGATCTTTAACCAGGACATTGCTGGGATCTTTCAGCCATTCCTGGAGCTTTCTAGGTTTCTGTGAGAGAGCTGGATATTCCCCACATCGCAGCGTAGTGAGATGGACTCGTCTCATTCATTGATCACACAAACACTACTTACCCAAGTCTATGGATCATTCCTTACTGTCTCTTATAACATGTCTCCTGGCTCCTTCAAACGTACTCTAATCACATCGTTTCTGGAGGGACTCTGCTTCACTCTCTCGGTGCATTTCCCTCTCACCTTAAATTCAGTTGAAGGCTTTTTTTACGACTTGCTAGTTTTCCTTGTCTCACTCTACTTGACCCAGTTTTCACTTCCGTCCTCAGCACTCCCTAGAGCTTGAAATGACTGTCACAACAGATACGAAGGGCCACTTCCTCTTACTCCCCATGGCCTGGTTTCTTCTTCCTCCTTTGATGACATTTAGCAAACTCTGCTGCAAAGTTTATAGAGTCAGGTCTCAGCTGAAATCATATCTCAGGATGTGCTCTATTAGGGGACCATTCAATACAGTTTCTATTATAGTAAATTCTAAAATAGTCCACCAGTGTCTATAGCTGAGTGGTAGAATTTTTCCAGATCCACTATTTTGTCTTCAAGGACCACTATAGACACCCAGACCACTTCAGCTCAATAAGGTGATCTGGGTGCCAGGTGCCCCTAGTTTTAACCCTGCAGCTGAAAACATAGCAGTTTCAGAGAATGTTTACATTGCAGGCTTAATCCAGGCCGCTTCTGCGTTTCTTAATGAGTAAATCGCACTGAAATGACGCTGGACGTCCTCACGGATTCTGGCGTGAAAAAAGATCTTCATAGGAAAGCATTGAGTAATGCTTTTTCAATGGGCGGGTTTGAATGTGCATTCGGCTCCACTCGAAAGCTGACGTTGGCAGGTGAGGAGAGGTCACCAGCGCCGAGGGATTCCGGAGCTGGAATAAGGTAAGGCATTAATCTGAGTGCTGCAACCTTGCAGTAACACATGGTCAGTGAAGTGGGTGAGTAGCCAAAAGCGCCTGATTTTAGACAGTCGGCGATCATACCACTGTCTGTTGAGGGCATCCTGGCAGCATTGTACATACAGCTCTCCAGCTACAAAAATGGCTTAAAGGACAACTAAAGGTAACCGTGGACCACTTCATCACAATGAAGTCTGAGTGCAGTAGTTGTGTCATTTTAACAAATTTTAGTTGTTTACATTGTAGTGTTAAAAATACACCTCTAGTGGCCATCTTCCTGAGAGCCACTAGAGGCGCTTCCTCCTCCAGAAACGAGTCAAACTTGGTCCTGAAATTAAATGCTGCTCATAGCATGTGATTGGATGGCTGTGCATGTGTTGATCCCATCCACTGATTCTATAAAAGAAGCATTTGATTGGAAGAGATCGCGGAATACACCAGCACTTACCTCCCAGTAGGAGGGGGACTCATTAACTCTATAGTGCCAGGAAAACAGGTTTGTTTTCCTGGCACTATAGGATCCCTTTAAATGTGGCATTACAATTCTCAGTTTAGTGTGTCCGGCTCTGTTGCCAACGTTTGTGTGTTTTCGTTTCTATATGAGCTTAAAGCTGAACACATCTAGTCTGCCTTTCCTTCCCAGACCTTACCCATTATCTGATACTAGTATAAATACAGAATTTCTTCCTGGATGATGTTTTATTTGAAGCTTAAATTTCCACAAAAGGCAACCAAACCAGATCATCTCAATGACGTGGTCTGGGTGCCATGCTCCTTTTAACCTGGTCATGTAAAATATCGCAGTTTAGTAGATATCTGGTTCAATATTCCACTAGTAGCTGTCGGCCTTCAATGGGAGCACTGTTAGTCCCCAGGACCTCTATTGGCTATTTAGAAGCGTCAACATAATGTGGCTGCAGGGACTGCTTCTCTGCACTGGGCAAAAAATGGTAAATAAAACCTTTATCTTCCATTTATTGTTTAGAGTTCAGTGGGGCTCTGAAGCTATAAAACAGAATATATTATAGCGTTGGGAATAGAGGTTTGTATTGCTAATGCTATAGTGTTCCTTTAAATCCTTTTCTGCAAAGTGGTTTGGGGTTTTTTCCCCTGAAAAATAGTTTTTCAACACAAATATTGTGGAAAACAATTTTAAGAAATTATACCGGATCAGTTTCTGTCTACGTTTAACATATTCTCGTGGAAAGCAGTGTGAGTGTCACGGACAGTCAGAAATACTAATCTCCTGCTTTCTGGTATGTGGACATAATTCAGACATATGGTAAGTACAGTTACACTAAACTTGACTATATAAGGTACTATTTCTCAAATTCTGGGTTGGTCCATTGAATTGAGTCTTAGTGAAATACTCACATTGATTGTGTTGGAATTTCCCAGAATTCCAACGTAGTCCTATGATAGACATTATATACCGGTATGATGTCCATAGACACCAGTGCTGTGCTCTCGCGTTCTCTTGGCAGATGACGTCCCAGGAGTTTAATAGGATCCCCTGGATAGAGATGGCTGCGGCCAGCGAGGGTGCCTTCCACTGCAGCTCCAGGCCACCGCACACCAAGCAACGATGCCATCATCAAGGGTCTTTGCAAAATATACAGAGACCCCAGAAAGTGAAAGGTCTCTTGTTGAAAGTGAAAGGTCTCTTGTATTGTTTTTCTCTCCCCCCTGTTGCATGTCTACAGAATTGTGTTTGAGGAGAAGGGTCAGGGAGAGATAATTACCTGAATCACTCCAGTTTCTGGCTAATGGTGTGAATAGATGCTGTCATTCATTGCAATAATGAGAGCTGCTTGAAAAGTGACCAGCAGCTCTGCCATCGTCTCATTCATTGTTTCCTTTTTCATTGAACAGGGGTTTGTGAAGGGCTGTGCACCATATAACTCACTTTATAGGGGACAAAGTGACCCGTCTCACATTTTATGATTTTATTTATTCATTTTTAATGCTGCTGCTTTAAAAATTAGGAAAATGCTTTCAGATGTCCTGATGCTTTATCTAATACACTGCAAGGAAAAACCAGACCAGGAAGAGGCTCATCCAATCAGGAACCTCTATTCTGGTGTGCGAGCGTTTTCCTATGCCGCAGGGCTGTATGGGACCTGTAGTTCAGTTGTACCCGTCACACCGCTATAGCGATCGCATGAGACGCAGACTGCACATGTGTATAACTGCTTCTCCTGGTGTAGTAGGTAACCCAACACAAGAAGTAAAAACTCCATGTTTAGATCTACAGAGCAATCAATAGCTGTGTGATGGTTCAAATACAAATCCATGTAGTTATAAACCAAGAAGCACCATATCGTAATAATGCAGAGCAGAAGGCTTTATTTTTTTTTTTTTAAGGACTTATTGAGCAAAACTAATTTAACAAAAACACCCGTGCTAACCTAACGTACACCGTGCACTATGTCATGTCCTTTTTAAATCCATAGTTTCATTTATTGCACGAGAATAATATCTGTTGAACTCTGATCTCCCCGCTTTGCCGTGCCTCGTTTTTCTCTGTATGCTAAGCAGTTCTGCGGCCCTCGTAACAAATTTAAGCAGAACTCAAACATGTAAATATCAGAAACGGGATGTATTGAGGACAAAGCAGTTACTGTATGTAACAAGCTCATTAAAATGTGTATTTAACGCTGACGTTAGTTATTAGTCTAATTCGCCTTCTATCCTTTCAGTCTTTCAATGGCCACCGCTTTTCCCCTGTTGAGACCGTCATTACAGATGATCTCTGTTAATCCAACGTTTCCTTGTGGGCGTCAGTTAGCGTTGTCTCGTAGAGATGACTTGGTTCAGTGCTTTTCTATAAGGAGCGATTGCAGAACCCTCCAGGAAGCTCCTCTAGTGGCTGTTTAAGTGACTAAGTGAGTGACAGCCACTAGAGGTGGCCTTTAGCAAGCGATGTAGGAACAGTCTCCCCACATTAGGCTTTGGTGGTTTTGAGATATCTGTATAATATCGATGCTAAACACAACTACAAAATCGCTGCAAATATTCACATTTTATCCGAGGCTCTTTACTGTTAGAGAGTAGAAAGTAAAGTATGTTTCCATGTGGCACTGCCACGTTTTTGGAAGATAATTCTTTCTCTCAGCCCACCCCCACTCACTCGCCCCGCTATTGAACCTCTTTCAGGGTGTGGGGGCTGTCCTGCGTGGAGGTAAGTTAGGAAAAAAAAGTGTACTCACGGCACTTTCTCGTTCAAAGCAGCATCATTGGCTGTTTATTAACGGATGCCGTATTTGCTCGTCCTACGTGCGGTACGAGACACGAGGTTTACATTGATGTGAAATGAGATTGCAATAAAAAGATACATACTTCTCTTTGCTTTGTCGGATTTGCTGTGAGCTCAGATCAGTAAGTGGCGCGGCCAATCAGTACGTTCACATTATTTCCATGTTCTAGCAGCAGACGTTAGTGTGACCTGTAATGACACCTTCGTTAGATAGGGTGACGGCTCACCGGCGGCCCATTCAGGTTTTAATAGTGCCACTGTCAGAGGTGTTCACAGCTTCACAATAACATATTACCAGTAAGCCTGCCTGACGAAGTAGCCATTGATATAATATTTGGATGGGCGCAGGGGGCGATGCTATAGCTGAGGATACTGTATAGTCTCTTCTCTAACATACACCATGAGATGCTGGAATTGGCACACACAAAAACTACGTTTCAACGTCGTTTGAATGTATTCCAATTTCCATGGACTCACAATTAGTGTGGCTACCGGGGTTTAGCTTCCTTGTGTAAAGCAGGTTCTGCCAAAGTCACGCTTGGTGACTGAATTTATTGATCTATCGATTACTGATACAGTCATGTATTTCGTTTGTGTCTGGTGCTTTAGAAACGCGTTGATGGCTGGGTTTACACATTGTTTGAATGTTGGCGTGCAATGTTTTGGGTACTCGGTATGTGTTAAGTGAATGATGTGCAGATAGACTATCACACTGCACGTGCTTGTCTAGTGCAAGACCTTATTTCCAATGCTGTAAATCAGCGTAGTCCTTGTAACACTGTGTCCGTCAAGCCTTCTCTCAGCTTCCCTAAACATCTATAGTGATTTAAAGAGGTTGTTTAAAACTTTACTTGGTGCTGTTCGGTGTTAAGCATGTTTCTAAGGGGGCAGAACATCCCATTGCATGTGGCAAAGTCCTGATCAAAGTCAATAGGAAACACAGCAGGCTTGCTGGCTCTCCGTTTCCGGTAGAGCGTGCATGCACACAGGTGGAGCTCACTGCACAGAGCAATCTATTAATGTTTGCACCTTGGGATTGGCTGCAGTTCCAGCCATGTCTGTCAGTCACAAAATCTTATAATAGACAAACTTAACCACAAAGTATTTTTAAAAAATTTTTTTTTTACAAAACTGAAACGCCTGAACAACTGAAAACGAGTGGTAAACTGATATTTAATAGGCGCCAGCATGTTCAGTAGCGCATCCTAGTTCTGGCTAGAATACACCAATCTGACATTATGGTGGTATCGGACTTTCTCGTTTTGAGTACACCCGGAAGTGATGTATAAGAAGTAATGTACAAAGCCTTAGTATAAAACAAGCAAGATCCACTGAGTGTTGCTTAGTATCTGGAAGTGTTATTTCTGAAAGGTTGTAGCAGGGTTAATCTTCCCCATAGAGCGTAATCACACACCTTTTACATGCAATACCGCAACTCCAAATAGAGGCCTTATTTATCACGGGGTCCCAGCATGGAAGGTATGTGGCTCTTGGGGAATAAAACCCTCTCTACTCAGAGACTGGCCTGTTTAAAACAACCCTCCCCAGTTTTCTGTTTTGGAATGTGTTACTTAAATGATCACATTGTGACAGCAGGTTTGCTGTTCGTGGTCCGTTTACCTGTAGTGTAACGATGATTCCCCATATACCTACAGGGACAGAGCTTGTAGGCTGGTCCTAGATTATTTATAAAGCCACAATGTGTTGAATTTTGTTTACATCAAAGCAAGTTTATTTAATCAGACAGAATTGTTAGAACTTTAAACATTAAAAATCTACATGGTTTTTCGTTTTACATTTGTGGAAATGTCCTGATTTAGTGTTTTTTTTTGAAGAATACATTCATCTATCTCGTGTCAAACATGAGTAGTTCTGTTTTGTGGAACGTTTAACCCCTTAAGGACCAAACTTCTGGAATAAAAGGGAATCAAGACATGTCACACATGCCATGTGTCCTTAAGGGAACCCCTTATTTTCCAGAGAGCGTGATATGGAGATTGGAGGGAAATATTAAACAGACCCTCGGCAAGGTGATTCCCCCCTTTTAACCCTACAGGTGCTTCTCCGTCAAATACATTCCAGTGTCTATTATTAATTAGTGATTTTCGGGATCTTATTGGCTAATATTATAATGAAAATTAATAAGAAAGATATGACGCAGGATACTGAGCGTTGGACCAAGGCACCTCTTCAATAGAGAATAGTATTATTCCTGTATTATGACTGTGTATGTACCGGATCTGTCACTCATTGACTTGATGTGCATCCTCCTAATTTCTCTCTCTCTCTCTCCGTATAATGTTTTAAGGTTGTAAAGTTCCTCGTAATTTTCGTCTTTTGGAGGAGCTGGAGGAAGGTCAGAAGGGTGTGGGCGATGGGACGGTTAGCTGGGGGCTGGAAGACGATGAGGACATGACACTCACAAGATGGACCGGTATGATAATTGGACCTCCTAGGGTGAGTATGGAAAGGACTGTGTGTGTCGTTCATTTCTTAAATAAGTCAAACCATAAATCTGCTGGCTAGGATTCACTTACACAAGCTGTGCAATAAACAAGGCACCCGGTAACAGGATGGTGCTCACTACTCCTAGCACCAAAACGTTATATTCAGTTAAGTGCCCCTTTAATTTCTTTTAATCAATGAAACTGAGCATGCAACTTTTGTACATAACACAGCCCTATTAGAGCGTGTTAAACTTGCCATTAGGGTTAATAAACATGTATTCCTGATCCTATAGCATTGAAACCTCCATCTGGCCCCCACACCTCCCCTTGCCTCACTAAATGTAGTAAATAATGTAAAATCTTACCTTTATTCCAGAGTGCTGCTGCTGACTCTGCCCCGATCTGCCTGCTTGGCTGACATCATCAGAAGTTATGATCTGAGCCAATCACAGTGCTTTCCCATAGGAAAGCATTGGATTGGCTTGGACTTTCAAGAAGGAAGATCAGGGGCAGATCACAGCCCTGGCCAATAAGCATCTCCTCACAGATACATTGAATCAATGCATCTCTATGAGGAAAGTTCAGTGTCTCCATGCAGAGGGTGGAGACACTGATTGTCAGTCACACTGTGCAGCACTGCCCCAATAAGCACCTCTAGTAGCCATCTGAGGAGTGGCCAGTGGGGGTATCCCTAGGCTGTAAAGTAAAAATGACAGTGTTTACAGCAAAAAGCCTGAAGGTAATGATTCTACTCACCATAACAATTACAATAAGCTGTGGTTGCTCTGGTGACTATAGTGTCCCTTTAAAGTATTTAGCAGCGGGAATTTAATGGCAAGTTTATCCCTTGGTATTCTGTAAGCGTTTAGTGAATTATGTCCCCTTTGTTAATGTGGATGTTCCTGTAGCCTAAACTGGCGCCCCTCACACAGAGCGGTAATGTCACAATTCCAGTCAGACGTAGGAGACTGGTGATGCTAGGTTGTAGGTCTTTGTGCATCTGGCTACCTGCATGTTCTCTATCAGACACATTTTTTCACCTTGGTTATATGAATGGGTCCCTATTTATTTGTTTATTATTTTTAAAGCATTTCTCCTACCACATAGAAAGCTTGTCATACCCTCCAGCTCTCAACTAACGTGTGATCTGTACACACGAAAATAAGCAAGGCTATGTAATTGTGAATGTTTACTACTGCATCTGTACACCCCAAATAACTGTTTGACATCTCACCCTTCATTCCCTTCTGTAAACCCCCCCTTTTACTTGTCAAAATTGAAAAACTGAATGAATAAATAAAGATTGTTGTAGTTCAGCAACATTTGGAGGTCCAGAGTTTGGAGAAGCCTGTCTTAGTGTGATCTTGGGTTGGCTTCGGCTAGGTTTACACATCAAATAATGTGTGGGCTACAGTTCCAGCAGATGTATAGTTTGAGGATAAACATGCTTCCTCCAAGATCGATGGCTGCCCCAAACTATGTAAATACTTTAAGGCTTCCATTTCCAGCCGCCATCTTTGGGATTTCCTAATCAAAAAGCACAGCTATTACCATGAGTGCAGTGACGAATATCCTTTAGCTTGATGATCTCCCACTTGGCTAGTTTGTGCCGGCTGTAATACAGCAATGGTTACAAAAGCCTGCCTCTACGTTCTTTAGTCTGCCTTATCAAACACCATCGTAAACCATGCATTTGTTTCTGTTTTTCCTGCAGACAATTTATGAAAACCGAATATACAGCCTTAAAATAGAGTGTGGGCCTAAATATCCAGAATCCCCTCCGTTTGTTAGATTTGTAACAAAAATAAATATGAATGGAGTGAATAATTCAAATGGAGTGGTGAGTATTTCTCATTTTCTTTGTGTGTGGATTTAGCGGTAGGTCTTGATACTGGTGAATAGAGCATTCTGAGGCACAGTACTGTGTTCTAGGACTCGGCAGCTACCTAAACAACTTCAGTAAGCTGATCTACTGTTAAGTTCCCGGTAGCCCATCCACGTATCCCCAATTCTCCTCCGCCAGGTAACAAATAAGGAATTGCTGATTTGCTGTGTGTCAGCTCACAGTCTAATTGCAATAAAAGTACATACCAGTAATAAAAACGGTTCAACATAGGAAAGCATTGACTCAATGAGTTACATCGGTCTGTGAAGTGGACGTGTGTCTAGTGGCTGTCAGGAAGATGGGTTATAAAGGTGGACTTAACTACGCAGGGTTAAACACTAAAGGACCACGGCACCCAGTCCACTTCATTAAGATGAAGTAGCTTGGGTGACTAGTGACGCTTTAAGGTTAGACTAGAACTCAAATAAACTTTTGATATAAAGGGTTTTTTTTTTTTCCTGAATTTCTGAGTCTCTTTTGATGAATTTATCTTGCCACTCGAAGAAAAACAACAACTTTGCAAAGGTTATGTTGCAGAGATCACCCATATTAAAATGCCACAATAAAGCAAGCCTTTGGAGCTTAGATGTCAGAGGAAGAAATATTAATGTTTTAGGGAATTTTTTTATTTTTGTTTAAGATTTTTGTTTTAATGTTCTCTTGAGTTAGTTGTTGACACACACACGCAAAACCCACAAACCTACACAATACCACACAGCCGTATATATACTGCCATTCTGCGGTCAAGACGGAATTTTTTTCCTAGTATATTATTAATAATAATCTAGACGTGAAAACTGATCAATAGAAAGTGTTGGCTTATAACTGCAGCAATTTTAACAAATACATCTCACAGCTATAATGCCGCCCTTTGAGGCTGTCAGGCTGTATGGAACGAGAGATCTGGGTTGTCTGTATTAATTTAGTTCGTGAGCTGAACTCTTCCAGATCGAGGGAGAGTTCTGCTGATTGTTGTGCCGTGCCTGGCTCACTAAACAACGAACTGGGATATGTGTAAACTGATTTCAGCTATGGCTAATGATTCTTGAATCATTGTACATGATGAGTTACTTCATGTAGATTTAATGAAAGCAATTTTATATGCCAGTAGTGTGTATCTTCAGAGTGTGCACTTGGCAGCCAATCATCTCTCTGCAATACTTTGCAAAAGGATCACCTCTTCTCTTCCCAGGGGCAGATCTGCCTCCATTGTCCGAGGGAAGGCTGGCCACTAAAGTGACCTGTCATCTAGTGTGCATGCCAAGTGTAATGTTCTAGGCTTTGGGAGATATAACCCAGCACTTTTATTAATGAATGTTTCCCTGTCTCTCTCTCTTTTTATTGTAGGTGGATCCCAGAGCCATATCAGTTCTAGCAAAATGGCAGAATTCTTATTGCATCAAAGTTATTCTGCAAGAACTACGGCGTCTAATGATGTCTAAAGAAAATATGAAACTTCCTCAGCCGCCTGAAGGACAATGTTACAGCAATTAAAAAAACAAACAAACAAAAAAGGAAAAAAAAAACACAAAAAAATTCATGCCCAATTTACATTGAATTTAAGCGGTCTTCATTTTTCACAGTAGTAAATTTTCTAGATACATCTTGTAGACTTCAGAGTACTGGAAAGGAAGTTCCCAAGATAAAACCAGTTTATCTTGCGTGACTGTGAATTGATACGAATATATATATACATACATACATATATGTGTGTGTGTGTATATTATTTTTCCTCTTGTTCCCTATTCAAGCTCTCTTTAAGTTGTGCTATTACATAATCCCATCACGTCTAACCACTGTCTGCCTAGTTTGAACTTCTGTTCTCAAGAAAAATCTATTTACATTTATTACTGTTCAAAAGGAGTGTGGTAAATACCTCGACTGTGAAACGTATCACACAATCACATTGCTGCAAATTTCATTTTAGGTAATTTTTTTGTTTGCCTGATTTTATTCTATTTGCTTTAGACTTATAGTCCCAAGCTATCTCTAAAATGTCCTACAAAAGCGTCCCCCCCATCTCTCCATTTTTTTTATTTTTTTTTCCTTTTAATTTTTTTTTTGTGTGTGTGTGTTTTCCCGGCTGCACACCGGGTTTCATGGACTACTAATGGAATGCGTGCTAACCTGGGTCATCCTTTACCTCCCCTCTGTGTCGTCTTTAATAAATGCTGAATGTGGCAGATTGTGGGTTGTATTTATTCTTTAATTTTTTTATATTTAAAGGGATGATCTGAACACCTAACCCTACAGCTCACTCTCTTGTGGTTATGGTTTCAGGAGTCACCTAGCGCTGTCAAAAAATTGATTAATGGTTAGAAAGTGTCGGGTGCCTGTGATACTTCCAGTCTGCACCGATATGCTAAAGTGGAAGACCAGCGGACTAACTTTGCAGATGATAAATTTGTTGAATGTCAGCTGTCTTAAACTGATTCACAGTTTACTATGGGATGGCGCACGACACTCCTGGCACCATAAACACGATGGAAAGCTGTAGTGGTTATGGTGCTTAGTGTAACCTTTAAGATTGTCAAACCTTCAACACTTCTGCTGTCCTATGATTATTGCTGTACCCATTCTAAAAAGACTACAAGAAATGTTTGTTTTTTGAGGAGTCTATTTTAATTTTTTTTTTTTACTAATTTTGCTTTGTAACAGCTTGCAAGTTATGACGTAGTGATTTTTTACATGACGCAAGATGTTTTATAATGTACATTTTGATCTAAAGTAAGTTTACGTGTACTTGGACAGAGGAACTGTTCATAAAGGTTCAAAACTAACCACTAACGGCTGTACTCACGCAGACCAGGTGAGCTTTGGTTATCACCGCTAGTAAGCGGTTACCGAGCGCCTCCTGTCGGAGGGGCCCTCCCCGAGCGCCTCCTGTCGGAGGGGCCCTCCCCGAGCGCCTCCTGTCGGAGGGGCCCTCCCCGAGCGCCTCCTGTCTGACAGCCGGTAACATCTGTAAAGTAATCTGCTTTGTCTCATTCAAATAGAAGAACCCTATTCACTAAAGTAAGAATTTCAAATTTAAGCCCATGATACCTGATCTATAAAAATCCTCTATGCTATACTTTTAGCCTTGTAATTTTGCCTTAAATTTGAAATTTACTTTGAATTCTTACATTAGTAAATAATCTTATGAGTGCAGATAACTGGGTTTTTAACCACTAAACTGACAATAGGTAGAAAAAACTGATCCGTAAAACTAGAATCTCCTCACTCTGCCTCCGTTACGGTCTGGTTATTGTAGCCTAAATGCTGTTGTTTAGATTTTAATTTCCTACCATTTGGAGTTTAGTGAATAAACCCAGTGATGAAACCAGTTTAGCCTTTTTTAATCCAAGAAAACCAATCAGCTTATTGTGTTTCTTGTTACATTATAAACATTTGTCATGTTTGTACGGAGTAATGCAGAACACATTCACACGTATTAAATATGACAAAACGTTACGCACAGGTAAAGCTTTTATTGACAAATTCCGTTAAAGTGTAAGCTCCCCGACCAACATAAGGGGAACATACTGAGTTAAAACCAATTATTTAAATGTTCATAGGGATTTGAGATGTTATGGAGGGATTAATCCTAGAGTTGTAGCTGGTACCTGAAAGTCGTGTTAGATTGGGTGCAGGACCAGGGCCGGATTAACAAAGGGGCTGATGGAGCTGCAGGCCCAGGCCCATGGAAAAGGCCCATTTAAAAAAAAAAAAAAAAAATTTTTTTTTTTTTTTTTTTTTTACACTTCTCTTAGGTTTGCCACCTGACTGGTATTTTAATGGTACAGGCTGCCTGACCGTGCCGGTATTGCAGTAATACCAGCAATACAAATGCAGGTAATTTTCTCAGAATAAATGGAAATTACTCTGCAATACCAGCACTGGCCAGTAGGGGTCACTGTGTGTGGCGAGAGGCAGGGATAGGACGTTACCAAATATCCCTACCTCTCTCTACTACTCACTGATCCGTGGGGGAGCAGCAACACCGCACAGAGTCCAGACAGCAGCTCTACAGCTTAGGTAAGTGAGGGATGGGGGGAAAGGCAGTAGGGACACAGACACTGGGAGACCTGGGAACACTGAGACACTTGGGGACAATGAGACACGGAGACACTATGTCCCCCAGCCATTGTCCCCAGTGTCTGTGTCCCCCATGTCTCCCGAAGTGTCTGTCTCCCAGCCAGTGTCCCCTAGTCTCCGAGTGTCTTAGTGTCCCCAAATGTTTCAGTGTCTCCATGTCTCCCAGTGTCTCAGTGTGCCTGGTGTCCCAGTGTCCACATGTCTATGTCCACAACTGTCCCCAAGTGTCTGTCTCCCAGCCAGTGTCCCCTAGTCTCCCAGTGTCTGTGTTCCCATGTCTGTGTCCCCAAATGTTTCAGTGTCCCTAGTGTCTGTGTCCCCATTTCTCCCAGTTTCCCTAAATGTCTGTGTCCCCAGTATCCTAGTGACATGGGGACACACTGGGAGAAATGGGGGACACAGACACTGGGAGACTAGGGGACTGGGTGACATGGGGACACTGACACTGTGATATATTGAGACACTGGGTTACTTGTGAGACAGACACTGGGAGCAATCCATCTATACAGCAGATGGATTGTGAGTAGTTTGTTGGTGATTTTACAGAATTTTCTCTGTCACTCCTTGTGGTTTACATCATGTGCTGTCACGCATAACTAATTATACAAATGATTAAGGCTGGTATTTTTTTTCCAAGAAAGGTGGCAACCTTAACTACTCTTCACATACTCTTGCTTAAAGGAGCACTATAGGGTCAGGAACACAATCATGTATTTCTGACCCTATTATGTTAAAACCACCACCCTGGCCCCTTCTTGCCTAAATATAGTAAAATATAACTTGTATTCAAGTCTGCAGCTGCTGGCTCTGCCTCTGAATTGACTGTCTGCTGACATCATCAAATTACAATACTTCCCCATAGGATTGGCTGAGACTGTCAACTAGGGAGATCAGGGGCAGAGCCAGCACAAGTCCAACATAGCCCTGGCCAATCAGCATCTCCTCATAAAGATAAATTGAATTAATGCATCTCTATGAGGAAAGTTCAGTGTCTGCATGCAGAGGGTGGAGACACTGAATGGCAGTGCTGCACACTAGGCAGTACTGCCCCAGGAAGCACCTCTAGCAGCCATCTAAGGAGCGGCCAGTGGAGTTATTTTCTCTGAAAAGACAGTGTTTACTGCAAAAAGCCTGAATGGAATGATTCCACTTACCAGAATAAATACAATAAGTATTGTATGGGAACAAAACGTGTGTGCACTGGCTGACATTAAAGTTAGTTTAGGTAATGCTGAGTTTGGTCTCTCTAACACTGTGGCATGTTCCCTTTCTTCTACACTCACTACAGACACCTTTTCTCTGTCCCAGACTATATACCAGGAGCTTCTGCCTGCTAGTAAGAAGGTAAGGAGACAAATGGACCAGCGAGTGCTATGGGACAGTCCTTAGAAAGAATGGAGTGAGCGCATCATTAGACGCATTTATGCAAAGCTCAGGGTGCTGTCTGCATAGTATGCCCTTAGTCGGACAGCCTGCAGGATTGGCAGGCAGCCTGACATGCATTCACGCCAGGCTGACCTTCCAATTCTTTGGAAAGACATGCCCCCTTTTTGGGCATGTTCTCCCCTTTTGGCAGGTCGGTCACGTGATTCGCGCCTTTTACCCCGCCCATTGACTTCCTGCTTCGCTGGACACTGCTGTTAGGGGGTATGGATTTACTTGAAAGATGAAAACATAAATTGGAGAGAAATTGTGTTTTTGTTTAGCTGCATCCTTTGAGTTTCCCTCCAACACCATCTCCATCAGATACATGATGCTTGGGAGCTATGACGGTTTTAGTGTTTTTGGTCGATAAGATTCCGTCATTAGGCCCATCATAATTGTCAGCACCAGGCCCACTGTGATCTTAATCCGGCCCTGTGCAGGACATATATCTAATGATAACAATCAGAGCCATGATCTAAAAAGTCTTGAAGAAACATTTCTGTTTCAGTGTGACTTACTTTTTTTTTTGTGTGTATGTATAGACCGATAATTCAGAATGAAATGTTTTCTACTGACCAAAGATTCCGTTAATGACCGTGCGCAGGGAGAGAACGCTGGGAGTCTTTTAAACAGGCAGCGTTCAATTCACGGATTTCGATATTCTACTGATTGATTTCTTTTTTTATGTGGACTGTTACTTTTATAATATTATACATATAGGCTTTGTTGGCTGCAGTGTGAATTTTTGGGAATTGTAACTCCAATGTTAGTCCAAAAACCAGCAGCCATAGAATTTGTCCAGTTCTGCTGTTTTGGTGTAAATTCCCACTTTAATGAGTGAACGCTCCCTTGGTATAAGTTTGATTGATGCACAGCGTTATTTTGTATTAATGTATGCACTATTTTTAGTGGATAAACTCCTAGCTCTCGCTAACTAACCAGCATGTCGTCTCCTCTCCGCAATCAGATCCCTGATAGAGAACTATGGAATGGGAGGGAACTACCATTTCCAAGGTATCCAGCACAATGAACATTGTAGCACATAAATTGCTGCAGTGCCAGTGATGGCAAGCTCTCTCTTTTGCTGTAGTGGTTATGGTGCCCTGACAGCCCCTCTTTTAAGTAGTCACACAGTTTTTACACCGGTTTGACTTTGTATTTGGGGTCTGCTGGGTCGCAATACCCACCTCTAGTTCAGACATTGCGTCGTACCTTTCTATCTGATCTGAAGCCTGGCAGTGATCAGAAGCCTCTCGGGCAACAAGCTAGCACGGCGGCGGAAGCTTCTGGTTGGGGGCTTCCAGTTCGCCACCTGAAGTAGTGGTGGTGTGAAGTGGTGCTCATTGAATTCCAGGTAAGATGTCTGGTTGTTCTAAAAGTACAATTTATGTAGCACCAATATATACCATGGTGCTGTACAATTGGTAAAATGGTGTGAGTGCTTACAATGTGGGGGAGCCACCAACGCACTTCTGGCACCATAACTACAGCGAGCTACAGTAGTTATGGTGCTTGCAGTGTTCTTGACAGGAACATTCTGACATAAAAACAAAAAACATTTATTTTTATTGTTGAGGGTTTTTTTAAACGTATGTTATATAAAACATTTTTACTTCTCATTATTCCAGGGCCAGGCAGTCTACACCGAGCAGCCGCTCCTCTGTTTCTGAGTTCATGGCCGGAAGATCTCTGGTCCATTTGAAAGCTTCTCATAGAGAAGCATAGGGGGCCTAGTGGGCATACGTCACAGTCGCTGCATTCCTCCTGTTACATACTACTCATATCTAAACATTAAATCCAAAGCAATGTCGCTACTGTTGTTATATAGACAGAGCTCTATAAATATCATAATAATAATCTATTCCTATATGTTACTGTATCACAGCTTAGAGAAATCATTGCACATACAGGCGATTCCCCTTCAGGTGTAAATTGGTATTTAACTATTTTGCATGTAGGCTGTTGGAACTATGCTACTGTCTATAGCACTACACACTGCTACTACCAACAGCGGGTAGATATGTGTTTAAAACCACAGAACAAGTGGTGGAACCACCGACCAGTGTTTACCAATACCATGTGACACTATGTAACTGCCAGGACACTTTAAATGTCTTAATTCAACTATACGTAAACTGGAAAGCATGTTTAGCAATTACAAACTCTCAATACACCCAGAACAACATTTCTAATATGTTTTAGCATATTTGAATGTACCCTGTATGCACCCCGGTCGTCTGATACCAAACAGCCACTAGAGGCAATTCCTGCTAAACTCTGTAGCAACACTGGACATCGCAAATCCTAAAAGGATAGCATGGAGTCAGGGCTTGTGCTAATATTAGGTCCCCGCCATTGCTGGCATCGGAGAAGGCAGAGAGCAGTATAGCACTGAAAAACCTTGGTGTTAGAAACAGGTAAGTCAAAGAAAGTTTTAACCCATTCATGGTCATGGGAGGGAGTGGAGGCAGAGGGACACAATAGTGTTAGGAATACAGTTATATATGTAATGGAATAGTTTTGGAATATAGATTATACCCCTGCAGTCTCACTCAATTCTCTGGCATTTAGGCAGCCCTAGCCACACCTCCCCTGCCTGTGACTGACACAGCCTGCATTGAAAAAAAAAAAGGTTTGTCAACCAGATGTTAATTTTCTTTAGAAGTTTTTATCTCGTGCTCAGTAAATTTAACTTTATTCACACACACGAAGAAGGTGGCTATTAACAGAGCAGGGGATAAATTCTAGATTAAGCAGAATGTGCCACAAGGGAATCTAAGCTATCTAGGTTACTTTTCAGGAAGTTTTTAAAAAGACTGCCAGTTACATGCAAAAGGTATGTAGGGAGGTGTGCCTAGCGCTGTACTAACAAAGTCATTTAGCTCCTAAATGGCAGAGAA